TTTGTTGATGGCGACCATTCTGGCAGGTGTGAGGTGATACCTCATAGTTGTTTTAATTTGCATCTCTCTGATAATTAGTGATGTTGAGCATTTCTTCATATGTCTCTTAGCTATTTGTATGTCCTGTCTGGGGAGGTGTCTGTTTAGCTCCTCTGCCCATTTTTTAATTGGGTTCTTGTCTTCCTTTTGATGAGTTGTATGAGCACTCTATATATTTTGGAAATTAACCCCTTATCTGATGTGTCATTGGCGATTATGCTCTCCCATAAAGTGGGTTCCCTTTCCATTTTGATGGTTGTTGTTTTTTTTTGCTGTGCAGAAGCTTTTGAGTTTGATGTAGTCCCATGTGTTCATTTTTTCCTTTGTTTTTGTTGCCTTAGGTGATGTATCAGTGAAACTTCTGCTGCATATGATGTCTGAAATTTTGTTGCCTACAGTTTCTTCTAGGATTTTTATGGATTCACGAGTCACATTTAAGTCTTTTATCCATTTTGAGTTTATTTTTCTGTATGGTATAAGTTGATAGTTCAGTTTCATTTTTTTGCACATTGTTGTCTAATTTTCCCAACACCATTTATTAAAGCGGCTGTCTTTACTCCATTGTATGTTCTTGCCACCTTTGTCAAATACTAATTGAGCATAATGTTTTGGGTCAACTTTGGCCCCCTTTTTTTTTTTTCTTTTCCTCAACTGAGGACATTTTTCCATTTTTTGTTCAGATAGAGTGGGAGGGAGAGAGAGAGAGAAACATCGATGTGAAGGGACACATCGAGTGGCTGCCACCCGCACGACCAACCAGGGCCGGGGACAAACTGCAACCGAGGTACGTGCCCTTAGCGGGAACCGAACCCGGGTCTCTCTGCACCGCAGGCCGACGCTCCAACCGCTGAGCCAAACCGGCCAGAGCTTGGCCCATTTTTTAATGTGTTTTGCATAACAGAAGTTTCTAATCTTAAAGGAATTAAATGAAGTCCAGCTTCATTTAATATATCAGTTTTTCATGACTTGTGCCTTTGGTGTTGTACCTACAAAGTTATTGCCATATCCAAGGTCATCAAGAGTTTTTCCTATGTTATTTTCTAGGACTTTTATAGTTTTGCATTTTGCATTTAGGTCTGTGATGCACTTCGAGTTAATTTCGGGAAAAGATATGAAGTCTGTGTTTGGATTTAATTTTGTGCACATTGATGTTCAGTAGTTCCAGCACCATTTGTTGAGACTGTCTTTACTCCATCGTATCCCCTTTACTCCTTTGTCAGAGAGCAGTTGACCATATTTGTAGGGTCTATTCCTGAGTTCTCTATTGCATTCCATTGATCATTGTGTTGTTGCAAGAATACCACACTGTCTTGATTACTGAAGGTTTAGAGTGAGTGTAGCGTAGTGTCAGTAGGGTAGTGTCAATCCCCAAACTTTGTTCTTCTCCTTCAGTATTGTGTTGGCTAATCTGGGTCTTTGTCTCTCCATAGACACTTTAGAATCTGTTTGTTGATATCCGCAAAATAACTAGCTGGGATTTTATTGGTGGAATATTCCTGCATTTATTTAGTTCTTTGATTTCTTTCTTTGGAGTTTTATAGTTTTCCTCATAGATCTTATACAGACTTTGATTTATATTTTGGTATTCTGTAAATAGTATTCTGTTTTTAATTTCAAATTCCACTTGTTCATTGCTGGTATATTGGAAGTGATTAACTATTGTGTATTAATCTGGTATCCTACAACCTTGCTATAATCACTTATTAGCTCTAGGATGTGGGTTTGCGGGCGGGGGAGTTAGTTAATTCTTTTGAATTTTCTACATAGGTAATTATATCATCTGCAGACAGTTTTATTTCTTTCTTCCCAATCTGTATACTTTTATTTCCTTTTCTAGTCTTATGTCATTAGCCAGGACTTCTAGTGTGATGTCGACAAGAAGTAGAGGGAGGGACCTTCCTGCCTTGTACCTGATCCTCGTGGGAGAGGTGCAAGTTCTCACCGTTAAGTATGATGTTAGCTGTAGGTATTTTGTACATATTCTTTATCAAGTGGAAGAAATTCTGCTCTGTTCCTAGTTCCCTGACAGTTTTTTATCACCAGTGGGTATTAGATTTTGTCAAGTGCTTTTTCTGCAATTTTGATATGATCTTGTGATTTTTCTTTGTTAGCCTTAATGCGGTGGATTATGTTCATTAATTTCAAATGTTGAACCAGGCTTGTATACCTGGTATAAATCCCACTTGGTCATGGCCGGCCTGTTTGCTGAAAGGAAAACTGTCTTCAACTAGGCAAGTCCCCTGATTTCTTGATCTGAGGGGAGTGTGAACCATGAGATGGGCCCAGCTTGCCAAAGGTGTCACCCACCACGTTCCTGGACACTGCGTTCTGGGAAGGCATTCCTCTGAGCTCTCAGGGAGCGGCAGGTACATTCACTCTTTGGAGAGATGCTGTTTCCCACCCAAGACAGCAGGGCTAGTGCTTCGGACTCCTCTCCAGCACAGCAGCTGCCAAGAGCTCTGCAGGGAGCTGGCCACATCCTCCGCGCACGCTCACGGTGCCTGCAACTGGAGACCTGGTCAGTGATCTTAGGCCATGGCATCTGGAGGCTTGCTTCCAATGGCAATCTGAAGAATTTCACCGAGAGGACATAGGAGCATTTTGAGAAGGAGCTGCTCATATGTCTCTGGGGCCCCTGGCACTGCCCGTGTAACGTGCTGCTGTCTTCCAGCCCGGGAAGTCGACAGCTGCCGCATCTTGATTTGTCATGAATTTGGAAGTTTTCTAACTCTGTGTGAGGAAGGGTGGTGGGGGAGCATACCCATGTTTAACTTTGGGGACAGCTGAGGCAGGACACCCTGGCTTCTGGCACCCAAGCTGGTGACAGTCTTGTTTCCCAATCGTAAACATCTCCTTGGGTGAACACTCAGGCCTCAGGTACTTCTGATGCAAAGGGACCATCATAGCAGTCGCCATGCTGGTGGACAGCAGCCTGTCTTGGAGCAGGAAGTGACCACCTACTTCCCACAGGGCAGGGTCTTCCTATTAGGTCTCTTGCTCTCATGAGGGTCCCTTTGCCCTCAGCAGGCACAGACATCAGGCCCCTGTTCCACCCAGGCCACTGTCTGTGCTGCTCCTGGCTGTCCCCACTTACCGTCTGCATGAGGGTCTTACCTGCAAGGGACAGGGGTGAGGCCACTGGGACCCTTGGATAGGCTGGCCACGCTGCCCACATGGTGAGGCCAGGCAGAACCAGCCGCTGACCCTGGGGCACCAACTCTGGCAGATACCTACAGTGCGTGTCCCCCTATGGTGGCCCTTTCTCCTGTTTTCATTAATTTTCTCAGGGACTTTTGAAAGGCAACTTGTTTTAAGAAGTTGGGGTTTAGCATTTCTTCCCATTGTCTGTTCCAGGAAGTCCCAGGTTAGCTTGGCCCTGCTGGTGGGCTGGACCCCAGGTGCCCTCACACCCAAGCAGACACATAGACACACACACGTACACGCACTCACTGTCACACTCACACATGCGTGCTCATCACGGCCTGCCTCAGGACACCCACAGGTCACAACCCCCTCCCAGAAGCACATCTGTCCTGTATGACTCACTATTTGGAGGTAGACCCCCACCCAGACGGCAGGTGGAGGTATCTTGAGAGGAAAGGCCTTGGGTCAGGGCTCTTGGCCAAGTTCGGCCCCAGAGTCCAGGCTCTGCCTGGCAAAGTGATATGTGGGAAAGTCACAGGTGCAGCAGCCTCTCCTTGAGCTGGTGTCTGCCCCCGTCCTGTGTCCAGCAGGGACCACACCTGCTGCATGGGGAGGTAGCCCTGCCCTCCACCCCAACGCTCCTGGCCCCTAGGGCATCAGTCCCAGCTACCAGTGGCCACACATGCTCAGGAAGCAGCCTCCTCCACACTGCACCCGAGGGCTTGGCAGGTCCAGGCACACAGTCAGGTCAGGCCCTGCTCAGGCCCAGGGACAGCGTCGTGGACAGCAGGGCCTCTGGTCCCTCCTGGACAGACAAGAAATGAGGGGAGAGAACCCAGCCTGGGCGTATGTCACCGAGGGCCTGCACATGGTGGATGTCAGTTAGTACTCGTGCTCCGTGACACTGGCGGCTCGAGGAGGAGGACACGTGCGTTTCCGACCGAGGGCACCTGAGGACCGTGAATGAGAGGGATGGCTGAGCCTCCGATGTTTGGAAGGCAGGGGGAGGCTGGTGGGGCTGCGCTAGTGTGAGCGTCAGTGGTTGAGAAAGCAGACCTCTGGCTGGTGGTTCCCCCTCACGAGGATGCTCTCCAGCTCGCTCCAGTGTGGACACGCAGGAGGGGAGGAAGGTCCTCGCCTCCCAAAGCCCCATGCAGCAGCCTCGGCTGGGCTATCACATCTCATAAACCCCAACCAACCTCGGGGACTGGGTGTGAGTCGCTTGTACTGAGTGTCAGTGCAGACGGGGAAGCCACAGGACCCGATCGAGCTCAGCCCGGTCCTCTAGGAGACACAGCCCCTCATTTCTGCCTTCCTAGGAGTTGGTTTCCAGGCTGGTTCCTGATGAGGACAGAGCTGCAGGGGACACCCTGGTGCACAGCTTTCTCGTCCTTGTTTGTAAGGGAGAGAGTAATGTTACTGCCTGTGCCCTGCGTTGTTCCTGTGGATCAGAGCGTGGGGTGGGGAAGAGTGGGGGCGTGGTCTAAGCGTGGGTTGAGGACAGGGTTCAGGGCCAGGTTGCAAGTGGGCTCAGAACCCCCGGCCTTTTCACAGCAGGCTCCTTGCTCTCTTCTTGTCACAATGGTTCGGGATGGTCCCCGATGCATCTTGTCCCCCTTAGACCTACAAGCTTGTTGAGAGGATGGTTTAATGGCTTATAGCCCCATGTCCTGGCCCGATGTGTGTCTAGATAAGATGAGGTATCCACCCATGTTCCCGCAGAGCACAGAGGAGCAGGGCAGGTGCCAGGTGCACGACTCAGTTTCTCCTTTTTGCTCTGCACACAGCCTCATGAGGTGTCTTTTTCTTCTTCGCAGAGAGAGTGGTCACAGAGGTGGGGCTCCTCCAGCTGCTCGGGGAGCCCCCACCTCAGCAGGTCACCCAGATTGATGACCCCGACGTGGGACCAGCCTATGTCTTTGGCCCAGATGCCAACAGCGGCCAGGTGGCCCGGTACCACTTCCCCAGCCCGTTCTTCCGCGACTTCTCGTTGTTCTTCCACGTGCGGCCGGCCACCGAGGGCGCTGGGGTGCTGTTTGCCATCACAGATGCGGCCCAGGCAGTGGTCTCAGTGGGTGTGAAGCTGTCAGGTGTGAGTGATGGCCAACAGCACATCCAGCTCCTGTACACCGAGCCCGGTGCAGCCCAGACGCACGTGGCCGCCAGCTTTCCCCTGCCTGCCTTCACTGGCCAGTGGACACGCTTTGCTCTCAGTGTGGATGGCGACATCGTGACACTCTTTGTGGACTGCGAGAAGGTCCAGTGGGTGTCCTTGGCACGATCTCTACAAGGCCTGGAGCTGGAGCCCGGCTCTGGCCTCTTCGTGGCTCAGGCCGGAGGAGCGGACCCCGACAAGTTCCAGGTAACTGTGGCTGCTGCTTGCGGATGGGACCAGCCCTGGGGGTGTGGGCCTGGCCACTTGGACAAGGGCCCCAGGGGTCCTTGGTCTGCCTGGCCCCAATGTGTCTCTTATTCCCTGGTGCTGTGGCCCTTTGGCCCCCCCAACAAGGGTCTCCCTGGGCTTCATTGGTTTCTCTGAGGCCCCCTTGGGACCACCTTTCTACCCGGATGCCAGTCCCTGCCACCGTTTGCACAGTGCAAGTGATGAGCCCCTGGGTCCATAATTAAGGATTTTAAGATGGCAACAGCAGAGGGTGGCAGTGGGCCTCTGGGAGTAGGCTGCACACTTGCTCAGCTGGGCCAGGGCTTTATGCCCAGTGCTAGCATCAATTGTGCTGTTATTATTATTTTACCAAACTGCTCAGTGGCACACTCAGAGCAGTGTGGGCAGGACTTCCCCAGCAGTGCTAGGCAGGTGGCTGTCTTCACTGTTTCCCCAGGGAGCCCCCTTCCTTTGGGCCAGACCCCGGCCTTCATTGGGGGGGGGGTCTTTCTTCTGGGAGCCCAGCCCCTACACTTGGAACCTTTGGCTGGAAGCCCCACTTCCTGCAACACCGTGTGGGCACCCTTGACGGGCTCTGACTAATTCTAACATTACAGCCCGTCTGCAGCTGGCACGCCCCAGACAGGGGTCCCTGTGTATGCTGACGGGGGCTGTGTCTTCAGGGGACAGAAAGTTAATTATTGCCCAGACAAAAGCTGCTTGATTAAAGTTGTCCTAAGTCCTGGTGATTCGGGTTCTGAAAGCTGACCTTTCACCTTTGGCAGAAACTTTCACCCATGGGGTCTGGGAGCCAGCAGGACTTTGATACCAAACTGGGCCTCTTTGTGTTTTCGTTTTGATCCTCAAACATGATTAACTGGAAGGAGTCACAGAGAGTCGTCTTACCCAGGGAGGGGGCTGTGTTTACGGGCAGTTTGTTGTGTGACCTCCTCGGCATTTTTAGATAGAAAAGCACACCATTGTTCCATACGTCTTTGACAGTTTAACAAAAAAACTGCCCGTGAGCTGCTGTCGACAACAGGGGCTGCCCAGAGCTCAGGGTGCCAAGGGAGGAGCTCAGTGGTCACACTGGGTGCAGTGAGGGCACCAGAGGCTTCCTCCCTAGGCCTCCCAGGGCCACACATCATTTGTGCACAGCTGGACAGCCAGTTGGATACATAAGCAGACTGCCCCTGTCTTAATTTGCATTTCTTGGTTTTTAGTGAAGACAGACTTTAATTTTTTTCACATGTTTATTGGCTATTTGTATTTCTTCTTTTGTGACTGGCCTGTTTATGTTCTTTGCATTTTTGTTTTGATGGGTTCAAGCCATTTTCTGTTGATTTTTAGAAACTCTTTACATATGAAAGAAATGGATCCTTTGTTTTTTGTGCTGCAAATATTACTTCCAAATTTGTCATTTACCTTTTTACCTTGAATTAAAAACAAAAAACAACAACACTGGGATATTTCAAGTGTTTCTGTGATTAAATCTGGCCTGGAGAACACCCACATGGCGTTGACCATACCAGCGAAGTCTTTGCAGATTCGAAAGACAGGAGTGGGGCGGCTCACGGCTGCCGTTTGGCTCAGGGTTTGGCCCTGCCTCCTGGGTCACATCCAGCCGAGTCAAGCCTGGTCTGGCCCCTGGGTCTGCGCAGGCCAGAAGTTTCAGGACTTTTCTGTGTGGGTGTTTGGTCAGAGTCCAGCTGGGGGAGAGGAGCAGCCTGTTGTCTGATGCAGATCGATGTAGTGCAAAGTTCTTCAGACGTTCCCAATCGAGAGTCTTGAGAGAGACTCACTCAAGTCGTCTGATGTACACGATTTGGCAGGACGGAAGCTCAGGGTGCAGCGCGGCGACTGGGCGTCCCCCTCAGACATTCGGACACCCAGCCCAGCGCTGGTCCCTGCAGGTCCTTACAGAACAAGCTTTATTGTTTTCTCCTGTCAGAAAGTCCTGGCACCTCGTTGGTCTTTTCAGGGTTATTCTTCTTGTCAGATTTGGTTATAAATATCCCTGGAAAATCATGTATTACATGCAATTATTACATTGTTTTGCTTATTATTGTGCTACTTCCGACTCTTGTACGGTGTTTGTGTACCTCCCCTTTCTTTAGCATTTCAAATGCTCTGTGGTCACCTTTCCTTGATGTCCTTTCTCTTTATGGAGAGTGTCCCCATTTTCTCATTCTCTGTTGGCTTCTCTGTGAAGCCGCCTTCCTTGTAATCTGAGGTTTCGTTTGTGGTTCTCTCCTGGCCTCCGTCTGTTTATCAGGCCAACTACCCATGGCTCCCTTGGACCCTGGTCTGTAGCCTCTGGAAAGGCGAGGCTGGACCTGTCCTACTCCTGGCACCTCCCATGGTCACTCCTGGTGTTCAGTGAGGAGTTGGGACACTGTCACGTTCCTCACAATCGGTCTTGTTGGCCGTGTGACATAAATGGGCACTTGGCCCACTGAAACCAAGAGCTTGTCGACTGGCCACCCAGGCTTGGGCCACCCGGACAGGCTTGACGCCGAGGGTGGCCCCGAGCGGGCGGGAAGGTGTAAGCCTCTCCAGCCCTCACAGCCCTCCGCCCACCATGGCCCCGCACCCAGCGGCACCAGACCCGCCACTCCTGACCAAGGGGACGTTCCAGAAATTTAACAGCTGCTCTTTCCTTCCACCCCTTGAGTTCTCAATCTTGGTGACTGTCACCTCTGGGGTTCTCCCTGCCCTTCCCTCAGCAAGGCTGGGGGCCAAGAACTGGCATCTCAAATGTGATGCTGCTGCTGACCCCTGACCTGACTTCTGCATTTTTAGGTCCGGAATGGCCTGTGCTTCCTCTGGGCCAGGAGTTGGGAACGTTTTTTCTGCCAGGGGCCATTTGGATATTTATAACATCATTCTTGGGCCAGACACAATTATCGACTTAAAAATTAGTCTGCTGTATTGGGTCAGGCTTATTTGGTGAGGCGTGTGATGTGAGCTGGTGTTGACTTCACAGGCCTGTATGGCTCACGGGCTGGATGTTCCCCACCCCTGCCTAGGCACTGGTACCCTTGGAGCCTGGATGGTAGAGGACACCTATGTGTGTGGCTCCCCTATACCCATGCCCATATGCATGCACACAAAACCACGCACATGCACACACATGTACACAGGCATATACGCACGCACATGCGCGCGCACGCACACACGGGGAGATGGGACACTGTCTCACAGGCCTCACCGTCAGCAGTAGGGATGAAGGAAGGGACACAGATTCAGGCAGAACTGGACCCTGGAGAGGCTAACCATCTTGGGGAGGGAGTCCAGGGGTGCTTCCTGGAGGAGGTGGCCTGAGCTGAGCCGCCACAGATGAGTGGAGCCCCAGGTTAGGGCTCAGTTGCGTGTTTGGTGGTTTGTGGTCACATGATCCTTGTTGGTGCAGAGCAAGAAGGTTGTGAGATTAAGGGTCAGCTGGTAAAGGGAATCCAAAGGGCATTTGAAGGAATAAACAAAATGACCTAGACCAGAGCCTGCACACGGCCCTCAGACACGTCCAGCCTGCCACCTGTTTGCATGCAGCCGGCAAGCTAGAAAGCCTTCCCATGCTGAAATGGTTAGAAAAGGAGAAGAATATTTTTTGACACGTGAAAATCCTATGAAATAAAGATGTTAGTGTCCCAAAAGTTTGGTCGGACAGCCGTGCTCCATCTTTTACATATTGACCTGGACCTGGTCAATTTCCTGGTATGACATAGTCCTGTGACGAAGGCCTGGACATACTGACCAACTGGCGTGGCCTAGAGAATGTTTGCCGACCTCTGCCCTAGGTCTTTCGATTGGAAAGCGGTTAAAACGTGCACCTCGGAACTGACCCAACATGGTCTCTGTTTCGGAAAGAGTGCACTGGAGTAACTCCCAGGGGTCGAGATGTTAAGTGGAAAACAGAAAACACTAGAAAAGCACGGAGAACATTCAGACTTTCCCAGGCGGGAAACCTTTTAGAAAGCGCCATCGAGGATAAACCACAGCGCGCCAACAGAGCCTGCTTGCTCTGTGCCCTGGGATCACACGTCAACGGCACAGGCTCCTCCTGGGTTTGTGGGAGCCCCGCTGGTGTCGAGGCCCTGCATCCCCAGCGTCACATACTTTCCGAGAAGTCGGCCGAGATTCAGATCCTGCCATTGGTGCCACCCCTGCACCCCTGCCCTTTGGGCATCATGGGGCCTTGCAGAGAAGGCCCCAGTGCAGCCAGAGTTGAGGTTCTCATAACCTGTGCTGTCCCCAACTGGCAACTGTCCCCCGCTCCCTGCCTCAGGGCCTCCTGTTGAGGTAGGTGTCCTGTGTCTTCTCCACACGGTGGACCCTCTGTACTCACAGTTCAGGACGTTGCCCCCCTGCATCTGCTGCCCGCCCATCCTCCCCCCACCCAGTGCCATCTGCCTCATGTCCCTTGGGGATAACACTTTCAGCGACACACTTCATCTTTGTCTTACCGTCCTACCTGGGCGTGATCCCCTCTAAGACTCATACTAAGATGAGATGGGAGGGCCCTGTTCCAGGCCATGTCCTGGCGCCCAGTGCAGGCTGAGAGCATGTGAGGGGTTATGAGTGAGTGAGTGAACGAGTGAATTTACTCTGGGCTGAGCAGCCCACGTGCACAGAGAACCAAGAACTGACTCCAAGCGCTGTGGGCTGTTTTGTCCTCTGCTTCTCACTTGAGAAGGTGGCATTGCCAAGAGAGTAAGGCCTAGGTTCTGCCCAGTTAATCCAACTGTTCCCTGCTGTGTCTGAGTGCTGCACCTTAGGAGCAGCATTAGCTTGACCCTGGGCAGGGGCCCCTCTCATTCTGTTTTATGTCACCTGCTGAAATCTTGACTTTAGACGGTGCCAGGCTGTGAGTTAGGGTCTCTCTGTGCCCCTGCCACTTACTTTGTGACTGCTGGTGACCTCTGTCTCCCTCTGTGTTCAGGGGATAATCGCGGAGCTGAGGGTGCGCAGTGACCCCCAGGTGAGCCCAGTGCACTGCCTGGAGGATGATGACGACGACGATGACGGGGTGAGTCCCCTCCCCCAATGCTGTCCCTACCCTGTGGGAGGGGAGCCCAAGCTAATAGGGGCTAGCTTTTACCCCAGAAACCCCAAAGTGATGGGATTAGAAAGGTTTCTTTTTTAAAGATGCCAATTTGGGTACCTGGTAACATTTTAAGTTGCCCTATAGCATAAAAAAGAGCCCCCCACCCCTTCCCTGGGACCCTCCATTCAAATCACACATGGAACATAGAGTGACTATCAGATGGAAACTGTCCCCAGGACAGCCAGTGGGTGGCACAGTTGGATGGAAACTGTCCCCAGGACAGCCAGTGGGTGGCACAGTTGCTAGCAGTCAGCATGGCAAAGATATGTGAGAGTTGTGAGTGGGTGTGCACACAATCACACGGGACTTGAGGAGGCAAACCCACCTATTCTTGGGTGTGGACAGACAGGGGTACAGCCGAGTCCCCGGGAGGCTCCAGATCACAAAACTCGCCCTCTGTGGCCACAGTTGTGACTAGAGTGAGCTTGTCCAGTCTTGTCCCCTCAGCTGCCTTCTGTTTTGCTCCGTGTCTACTGTGTGGTCTGTACACTGATGAGTCTCTGCAGAAGCTCTGTCCTCTGGGCCGTTTCCCAGGACAGTGACCCAGGGACAGGGTGACATGTGTAAAGAAAGGAACATGTTTCTTTACGGTTCTCTGTATGTCTGGCCAGGAGCCAAATTGATTTCCAATGGGCCGTACTAATTGGTCTGACCGGACATGCTTCATTGATGACAAGCTGACACCGCTCAAGGGAGGGCCAGTTCCCTCCTGGCGTCCTCGAAAAGCCCCCCACCTCTTTCTGCCCTCTTCCTCCTGCCCTGGCCTGGGACAGGTGGGACCTGCCCTGGTTTGTTCCCCAGGCCCTGCCAGTCCGGGGCTTCAGTCACCAGCTTCTTTGTTTCCTGTGAACCCCGCAGGAGTCAGGAGACTTTGGAAGTGGGCTGGGGGAAAACCAGGAGCTTCTCAAGAAGGAAGTGGTGAGTACTAGCAGGGCCTCCACCCAGGGCCCCGTCCCAGCCTGGGTACACTCCCTCTCATCTCGGGAATGCTTAAAATTGTTTTCTCTAATTCTACACATTCCTTGAGTCCCTCAGGTGACCTTGACATTGATTGTGCTTTCCTGTTAGCTGGTGGGGCCCCAAGGAACGAGGGGGTCTGTAAGTCGGAGAAGGCAAAAGCTGTGCAGGGCAGCATGGGGCCAACTCAGTGAGCTTCTCAGCGCGCCACCTGAAGCGACACTCAGGAGGGAGGGCGCCTCGGGGACATGGAAGGGGCCTCTTTCTCACGTTGTCTTTGCCCAGGGGTGGCTGGCCGGCGCCCTCCCTGAGGTGGGGCCTGGGACCTGGCCATGCCGTGGTGGCTCGTAGGGAAACAGGGCCAGGAGGGTCGCCCACCTGCGTGCAGGCTCTGTGCCCGGTGGGCTCCTGGACACGGGTCAGTGGGTGGTGGCCCAAAACAGTACCCCCAAGGGTCAGACAGCCTGGGTGCTCCTCTCCTGCTGAGCCTCCTCCTCACAGACGTGGCTGGTTTTGAGAACACGGGTGCACTTTTGCCCATCTGGCTTCTGTCTCTACCCAGGGCACACACCAGTCACTGGGGGTGCTGGGACCCCACAAAACAATGGTGTCTGAGCTGCATGAAATGCCACAGCTTGGTGGCCTCTCTTAATAGTCTGGAGGGTCAAAGACCAAAATTGGGGTTCCTATTAGACAGGTTCAGTGTGGGCCGGGAGCCTGTCCCTGGCGAGGCTCCGTGTCAGGAATCCACGAGCAGGCCCCTGGTGAGCATGGCTTCGGACCGTCGGAGGAATTGGGCAGAAGCCCGTACGAGTGGACAGGCCTGGTCCAGGTGGAGGTCCCAAGCTATGGGGAGGGCCTGGTGTTCTGCCACGGCTGCCATTTGCCCTCCTGACAGTGGGGTGAGCCCTCAGACAGGACTCACAGGATGACCGTCACCCACACACAGTGTCCTCGGGAAGCACGTGCCAAACGTGGGGTGGCCAGTTGCAGAAGTCTTGCCTCGTATTTGAACACCCACTTGCAGCCATGTCCTCAGCTCCGTGGAAAACAGGGAGGCGGTTTTTAGAGCAGTGGCCTCGTCCTCGCTGGGCGGGGTAGGCGGCACGTCACAGCCACACCCAGTGTGTGCTCTCCCCACCGAGGGCATCTGTGGTAGTGTTGACCACTTGCCCTCCTCTGTTGGGATCACAGGAAGGAGCAGGGACTCGGAGTGTCACTGAGGGGCCACCCTGGGCCCTGAGCCTGGGGAGTGGGCACTGGTCCTTCCCTCGCATGGGGGAAGTTGGTGGGTGTGGGGAGTTCCTGGCTTCTTCTCACTGTTCTTTTTAAAAATAAATCCTTACTGAGGATATTTTTCCATTTATCTTCAGATAGATGGGAGAGGGGGAGAGAGAAAGAGAGAGAGAAACATCCATGTGAGAGAGACACATTGATTGGTCGCCTCCTACATGACCTCAACCAGGGCTGGGGGCTGAACCACACCGAGGTACGTGACCTTGACCAGAATCGAACCCAGGACTCTTCGGTCCGTGGGCCGACACTCCAACCACTGAGCCAAATCAGTCAGGGCTTCTTCTCATCTGTCTTAAAGTCTAGAAAGTTCTTATTTTACAAACCAAATAAATCAGAACCTGACATTTGCCAGCATGCGAATCCATAGGACGTCCAAGTCGGCTGAATGACAGAGCTGTTTCCACTCTCACCTTGCCAGGGACCGTCCCTGAAACCCAGCCTCCCCGAGGCTCCCCCGGTCACTTCTCCTCCCTTGGCTGGAGGCAGCAACTCAGAGGATTCCAGAACCGAAGAAATCGAGGAACACACCACTGTGTCTTTATTAGGAGGTAAAGCTCTTGTGGGTGGGTGTGCATGCTAGTGGTGTGCGTGTATGTGTGTGTTAGTGCTATGTGCACGAGAGCATGTGTGTGTGGGGCTGGGTGAGGGGCTCCTGTCCATTGCAAACCCAAGCCCCAGACTGGGGAGTGGTCGGTACCTGCCCTGCCCCTTTGCCACTCTGGCACTTGCGGGGTCATCTATGAAAACAAGCTTCCCCCAGAAGAAGTCAGGGCAGAATGGCTTCTGGGATGTGTCCTTCTCTTTCCCACGGTTTGTTTCCTGTTTTCTTATTTCTGGGGTATCTGTGGGTCCATCTCAAGTGTGCTACTGGAGTGACATGCCACGGCGCAGCCTGGGGCCAGTGGGCTGCTAGGAGCACATGAGAGTAGGCTGTGAGGACGGAGACTTCTCTGCCCAGAACCTCTGTGAAATGAGCTCACCCTGGGGTCAGCATTTGGGGTCTGGGACTTCCGCTGGTGACCTTGGAGGTGCACTGGCCCAGAGAGCACACAGGCACCGACCTGATAGAGTCGGAACCAAGGTGCCTGGGATGCATGGAAAATGAAGTGTGTCTTAGTCCATTGCTGCGTTGTAACAAACTGCCATAAATTTAACTGCTTCTGGCTGCACGTAGGAGTCCTGCTGAGCGCAGAGAGGCGAAGGCGGGGTGGGCAGAGCTGCTGCCCTGCAGGAGGCCCAGGGGAGGGTCCTTCGCTGCAGCGGTAGGATTGAGGGTCCAGGTTCTCTACTGCTGTCGGCCAGGGACTGCTCGTGGGTTCAAGCGATGGCCCACATTCCTCAGCTCCTCTTCCTCAGTACCCCCTTCTGCCTCACCTCTCCTGCCTTCCTCTTCTGTTTTGGGGCTTTGGGTGACGATTGGGTCATACCCCGAATTTCCAGAATAATTTCCCTGTGTTAAAGTCAGCTAGTTAGTAACCTGTCAGTTACATCTGCGAAGTCCCTTCACAGCAGTGCCTGGATTCGTGTCCACTGAACAATCAGGAGACAGGAACCTCAAGGGGAAATCTGTAGAGTTCTGTCTGCACATTTATGTCAAGGTTTTAGAAAATTATATAGACATTTTTAATTTGAAAAAAAGCATTGGTTGCTTTTTAAATTACTGAAACAGTACGTGTTCAATGCAGCCAAATTAGAAACAGAAAAGAACCAGTGAGTGAGAACTGACCCTCGGTCCCCCAGGGTCCCGCTGTTCACGGTCTCTCCTCAGACGTGCTTCCCCAGGGCACAGCCAGGATGGGCCAGGTGGGTAAAGCATCCGGCCCCTCAAGAGCTCTGAGTGAGGGATGTACACCCACCTGGGCCACAGGGCAGCCCAACCCTGGGCTCGCTGTACTGTGTGGCCTGGGGTTCTGGTCCAGAGGATATCTAGGTGCTAAGTGTAGATTTCAGGTCTTTCATTTCTTGCTTATTATACATGTTCAGTTTTTCCAGCTCCATTTATCAGAAAGCTTGTCCTTCCTCCACTGAGTTGCCTGGAGCCTTTGTTGAGAACCGGTTGCCTGCCTGTGTGGGTCTGTCTCTGGAGTCTGCCCTGGTTCATGGATCTGTCTGTCTGTCTTGACAGTGTGCTACCCGTGCGTCCTCCAGAACTGCCTGTCCTTGACAGAACTGCTCTGCGGTTCTGTCCTTTGCATTTCCTTATGAATTTTATAATTGGTTTGTCAATTTTTGTAAGAACGGCCTGCTGGTGTTTTGGTTGGAATGTCACTGAATCCATAAATTGTTGGGGGAGGGGCTCGGACATCTCAAGAATACTGAGTGTCCTGACCCAGGAATCAAACCATCCTTCCCTCCTGAGGTCTTCACTTTCTCTTCTCTGAATGATGTCTTTTCCATTTTAAATGTTTGCAGAGACAGGGGATTTAAATTTGCCTTAAGTCATGCGAATTCTTAGAGTACATCCTGGGAGGTTGGGACCCCACACCATCAGGGGAAGGGGCTAGGCTGCCTTCCTGTGACTGACCTGTGACTCTCAGTGGGTCCTCTGGGTGAGGTGTCAAGGTGACTTGGGCAGCAGCCACCTGGGCCAGGAGACGACGGCTCTGAGCAGAGCAGAGGGTGGGGGCTTGTGCTGCTCCCCCCTCCCCCACTGTGGAGTGACCGCAGATGCCCACACATGGATGCAGCTTCTCTTTCTCTTAGAAACAGGGGAGGAGTCCCTGAGCTGTGCACACGGGTGATGCCGGTGCAGCCATGGACAGTGTGAGGTCCCTTGGGAGTCATCTGATCCACATTGGGCTGAAGGGCCCCAAATCCCATCCTGTCCCCAAGCTCTGCTACTGTGCTGTCCCCAGAGATACCCCTCTGAACTTCCCTCAGAAGATGAGGCCTCCGCAAGTCACCCAAGCGCATGTGACATTTCAGTGCAGCATGGGTCCTGTGTTTTCTAATTGATTCAGTAATGTTGGAATGTTTGGGTGAAAGGTTTTGGGGAACAGCCTCAAAGTTCACCCACAAATTACATGTCAAGCACAGAGGGGGAGGTGTCCACCCTGCAACCGGTGAGGAAATTGAGAAATGGGAGAAGCAAAGAACAGGGCGACCGGGACCGGGGCCACACAGGGCACTGCGGTGGCTCGGGCCCTGCTCCTCTGTGTGGTGGTGTCTGACAGTCCTGGGGGCATGCACAGCTCAGGCAGGGGGCCGACTTGGCCAGAGCTGGCCTATGGGCAGGATCCTTAGTGGGGCCCTGCTTTCCCCACTGTCACCATTCTCCAAAAGGAAGCCACACAGGACATGACTAGGCAGTGGGAAACCTGAATCCGGCCATGTGTTAAGTCACTGTATGTGACAATGCTGTGTTTCCCAGATGTGACCATCAGGTTGTTAGATATTATAATTGTTCTTGGGAGACATGTGGCATTCAAGGGGAAAGAGTCATGATAATGCAGGGGACTCTCAAGTGGCTCAGCAAGAGCAGTGGAGTGTGTGTGTGTGTGTGTGTGTGTGTGTGTGTGTGTGTGTGTGTGTGTGAGAGAGAGAGAGAGAGACAGAGAGACAGAGAGAGACTGGAGTGTGTGGTTAGGGGTGACAGGCAGCCCTGGAGGGGAGCGTGAGCCAAGAGCAGAGACTGGGCCACTGTTCGGGGGTCTGACCTCTGTCCCCCCACCCCCCAGCTCAGACCCTTCCTGGCTCAAATATAGTCACCACCTGGAACAGGAGCGTCCAGACCTTTGAGGGTGTCCTGGAAGAGGTGAGGCCACATCCCTGATGCAGAACCATGGGGGCCCCAGAGCAGTCGGTGCCTCTGGTCTGCTCGCTGGTGACCTGACCAAGTGCTGGGCCCACACTCTTCCTCTGCATCCCTGTGCCTGGCGTGAGAGGGGCATGGCTGGGGGGCTGTGGCCAGAGCATGAGGAGCATGTGGGCAAGGATAAGGGACACCTAGGCAGACCCATGTTAATGTCATGTCACCAGCCTGAACCCTGTGCATGTCCAAGTTTGTGTCCCCTCTGTGTGCCCACCTTATGTGTCCCTGTGTGGTACTGAGCCCAGCCCAGGACACAGAAGAGTGTGGTGATGGGTGGGCAAGTAAGCGTGTGCGTGGCCCCTAGCCTGTGCCCTCTCCTCCTCCCAGGGTCTTGCAGGCCCAGTGGTGCAGAGCCCCGATGCACGGGCTGTCCCTGGGCCACAGGGACCCCCGGGACCCCAGGGACCACCAGGGAAGGATGGCGCCCCTGGAAGGGATGGTGAGCCAGTGAGTACATGTTTCTCCTCAGCCCAGCTGGAGTGGGGGCTCCAGCAGGAAGGGGGGGCGGTGCAGGTAAGGTGGCAGAGCAGCCGGACCCTGGGGACCCTGGAGACCCCAGGACCGTATGCACTGTGGGAGAGCGAGAGGGGATCGGGGCAGCTGTGGGCAGAGCCAACTGAGGCCAGCCCACTGTGGACAGGTGGTCAGATGTCGGGTGGAAGGTGTGGAGCCCAGGGTCCGATTCCATGTCAGACAGGGTGGGGACAGGAGCCCGTGAGTCCATCACTGACTGTTTCTCTCGCATGTTCCAGGGCGACCCTGGGGAAGATGGAAAACCCGTAAGTTTGCTTTTCTCTCAGAGCCAGATATTGTCCGTGAAATTGTGTGAGACCCTCAGGACGTTTTATCCTGTGACATTCTTTAAGCTTAACATAGTGAAGAGATTCCAAAATGAAGCCATTTGGAAATTGCACCTTAACTTTGTTAATAAAATATAAGTCTAGATAAGTATAAAATTATGCATTTATATTGAGATGTTTAGGCGAATTACGGGGTGGGGGGGGTGGCTTCCGAATTCTCAGAGGAAAAAGCAGCTCAGTGGAGAAGATGAGGCTCCCTGTGGCCGGCAGGCTGCACACGTGGAGCAGAGACATTTGTTTGCAGGTGTTAGTTGCAGACTCATCTGCAGTCTCAGTAGATGTGAATTTTTGTCTTAAAACACTTCATTTGGATTTTTAAAAAAATACATATGTTTTTTATTGATTTTTTTTTTTTTTTAAGGGAGAGAGGGAAACATCAATGTGAGAGAGATACATTGATCTACTGCCTCCTGCACGCCCCCCACTGGGGATCAAGCCTGCAACCAGGGCACGTGCTCTGACCGGGAACCAAACTAGGACCTCTCTCTCAGTCCATGGGACGACGCTCCATCCAGTGAGCCACACCGGCCAGGCTAGTTTCGATTTTTTAAAATCAACAAATACTAGTTCCAAGGAACATGATAAAATGACACAAGAAGGTCACAAATAAAGATTTGGGAAGCCACAGACCAGCAAATGGTAACAGGCAGGAGGGAGTGCCCCATGGCCAACCCTGGACGACACGTAAGACTCAAGTTAAAAACGTTCCAAAGGAGAAGGGATGTTTCATGTTGATGCCTGAACAATCCCTAATTAACCTTTCCATTTCACAAGCTTTGCAAGGAGAATAAGGTATGCCAGGAAAGGAACCAGTGCTAGTGGTAATGAGGCTTCCACAGAACAGGGATGTGTGTGTGTGTGAGAGAGATATGCAGGATTCAAATGACTGAGTAACAAGCTTGCTCTAATAGAGTGCATTAGCATTGCACTGTCCTTAGCCTGACAAACCCTCCACAGTCTTCCAAGCACATGTGGACATTCAAACACTTTGATGGTCAGTTAGGCCACGAGGGCCTCTTTGCCCACTTACCCAGGTAGCACACACCTGGCACACACCGCGCACATACCAGGCAGAGCACCTGCTGTCTGGTGAGGCTGCGCACAGGATGCTGCAGTCAGCTCTGCGCAGTTCTCCCGGAGCTGTCTGTACGACAGGGTCATGTGCAGAGCCTCGGCAATCCCCAAGGTCAGAAGTGTCCACCTCCGGTCCCAGCTCAGGCTCAGCCCTGTCTGCTCCTCCCCGATGCCCTGCACAGGAGCAGACCTTCAGGAAACAAAGCTGCTTGTCCGGTGGTTCAGATTGTGATGGGACAGAGGTGCCTTCTCCCTGACTGAGCTGCCTTCCTGTCTTCCAGGGTGACACTGGGCCACAGGGCTTCCCGGGAACTCCAGGAGACATGGGCCCCAAGGGAGAGAAGGTGAGTCTAACCTGGCTGGGGCTGTGGGCCATCACATTACCCTCTGGACCCCTGGTCCACAGCGGGACTGTGCTCCATGATGTGACCAGGCATCTTCTGTTTCCAGGGGGACCCTGGGGTTGGGGCAAGAGGACCCCCAGGACCACAAGGGCCTCCAGGGCCACCAGGACCCTCCTTTAGACATGACAAGCTGGTAAGTCCTGCCTGTGGCCTCTTCCACCAGGGGTCTGCTTGCTATCCCAGAAGAGGGATCCTCCAATCTGGAACCAGCCTTCCTGGGGGTATCTGGTTCCAGGGGAGTCAGCTTCTGCCTGTGGGGTGAGGGTAGGGCAGGCTCTCTGGGTGGTTCTGGGCCTCAGAAGGGTCTCCTTCGGGCTTTTCTCACTCGGTGGGGATCCTATGTTCACTCTCTTTGCTTCCCGTCTTGACCTGGTGGTGACATGGGGCCATGCTTAGGGGACAGCATGGTGCAGGGGCAGGTGGGCAGTTCTCCCCACCTGCAGGCAGGGCTGGGGCCTGGCGGATGGGTCTGAGCTCTGGGTGACAGGTGTCTGGGATCTTTCCTTCAGACCTTCATTGACATGGAGGGGTCTGGGTTCGGCGGCGACCTGGAGAACCTTCGAGTGAGTGTCCCTTAGCCTGGGTGGCTGCTGCCCCACTGTCATTGTGCATGAGTGGACCATAGGGGATGGAGGGGGCCAGTTTTAGGGGACTGTCCTTTGGTGGATGCTGTGTACATGACTGTTCTGTGTTTTTTTGTGTCCAGGGCCCGAGAGGTTTCCCTGGCCCTCCTGGACCCCCCGGTGTCCCAGGCCTGCCCGGAGAGCCAGGCCGCTTTGGATTGAACAGCTCAGTCATTCCCGGACCCCCAGGCCTTCCTGGTGTGCCTGGGCGGAATGGACAGCCTGGACTCCCTGGTCCCCCAGTAAGGCCTGCTCCTTCTGCTGCGTCCGTCCCCATCAGGATCAGCTGGGAATGAGGGAGAACACCAAGTGTGGGGGCCTCTTCCTGTCTGGGCAGAAGCCCCCCTCACCACCTTTGTAGTCCTCTGTCCTTGCCACTGAGTCCTTGAGGTGGGAGGGCTGCTCTGGGCACCAACCCACTGGGTGACTACATGCAGTGCCATTCAGCTCTGTCCTTCAGTGGGTGGCTGACCTCATAGAGGCCATTTCCAGGACTGATTCTCTTGGGATCGAGGTGGGCCCCGCTGCCCGAGGACTGGGGGCTGTGGGGAGCCCATTGGCTAACTCACCACTCGGCAGGGTCTCAGAGCCCTGCTACTCCCTTGCTCCTGGCGTGGGGGACACAGTGGCCTGGTGGTGCCCACAGACGTCACTGTTGTAACCGGGTCACTGGAACCAGGTGTGCCTGGTCTACACTTGGCAACGTACTCGGAATGTGTGACTTCCCAGACCGTGGCGCCATTCTGGTGACGGCACGCCACCCCACTTCAGTGGGAGCCTGCCCCGGCAACGGGTTCACGGCTCCTTCATTTGATCAGCAACTCAAAACAAGAAAACAACCAGGAAATTTAAAAACCGAGCAGAGCCGCATGGACTTTCTGACCTGTGTTACGGGGGCAGGGGGACCCGGGATTCAGGCTAGTCTTTGATTCTCAGGAAATCTGTGACACCCAGATAATCGCTAACTCACACTTTCTCGGCTGCTGAATTCCCTCCGGCCCCACACTCTGCTTTCTCTCCTGTAGGGACCTCCAGGCGCTCCAGGGAAAGACGGGCGGCCAGGAGAGGCTGGCCAGAAAGGCAGCCTGGTAAGTCACCTCAGATGTCCAGGGTGACCACAGCCCAGAGTGTGGCCACAGGGTGACCAAACCCTGGATGTGGAGTTTGGCCCTGAGGAGAAATGCCACAAGGAGGGCAACACCCAGGATTGTCGGTGACTTCACTCCGACAAGCAGCCATCACCGGCGTCATCACAGTGCAATGGCCGGGGCCTCGGCTAGCTGGGGTTCATGCAAAATTCAGGACCCCGTTATCACGACTTCTTTGTGACCATTGGACTAATGTGTTTTTTTGAAGAATATTGACACTTCATTCGATTTGGACATTTTATTTCAAGTTTCAATTTTGGTTGCATTGATAATGGAGAAATTTTTAAGGCTGCACACACCTCTAACCCGGACCTTGGTTTCCTCCTGGTTTTCAGGGAATGAATGGGGTCCAGGAAGTGTTGGGGTGGGGGGCAGCCTGCAGCTAGTTGGAGACACTTCCATGTGGCATCGTCCGTGAGCACCTGGCTACTTTGGGCTCAGCCGAGGGAGTGCATTTTAAGTGAACTCTTATGTGCTCAGAGCTCGTCGCTTTGGCCACCTGAGCTAGGACTCACCTGGGTCATTTGCACTTGGCACACAGTGGTGGGAGCGTGCTCTCAGCAGTGGTTCAGTACTGGCCCCATGGCTGAGCCTCCTCTGGAGCCCCTGTCCCCACCTGAAACGGGCAGAGGCGGGAACAGCCAGAGAGGTAGGTACACCAGGGCGAGAGGGGGCACTCGGAGTTTTAGATGCACGACTTCTGTGAGCGGCACTTAGGCACCCCAGCTCCCAGGTCCAGAACAGAGGAAAATCTGAAATTATTAAGTCAGCATAAATGGGAAAATAGTGACCTTGTGTGTCAGGATAAAGGAAGAAACTCTGTGCTTTTCTCTTGCTGGCTGCTCATCTGTCTGATTTTATAGTAATTATTCTCTTTCCTGCAGGGCAAAGTGGGCACGTCAGGACCTAAGGTACATCATGCTTCCAGATCGGGATTGGCCACTGGGTGGCGGGCACAGGAGTGAGCTTTCCTTGGTGCTGATTGTGGGGTCTGACCCATGAGCCCTGGCTCTGTCCATCCTGCGTGGTCACACTTGTGTCCGTGCTGTGTGCCAGTGGGCTTGGTGTGTCCTTCACAGCCCTTCACAAATCTGGTCATCTCCATTTACAGAGGAGTAAAGAGGCTCAGGGGTTAGATGGCCACAAGGGGGTGGCGCTATGTCCAGCTTGGACTCACATGAGGGCCTCCCTATCTTGGGTCCCAGTATCCCGCTGTCCTGTACTGGGCTCCTGTCTGGCCCTTGGGATCCTCAAACTCTGAGTAGCAGGTCTGTGTCTGAGACTGGAACCCCACGTTGTACCTGCCTCTTGGCTCTTGCTCCTCCCTTAGGCCATGCCTCATGTCCTGCCCCCAGTCCCAACCTCTGCAGTGGTAACGGGGTCCCAGGCCTTCTAGACTCACTCTAAGCCCCCTACCTCCTCCCCCTGGTTCCGTCTAGGAGCACCCTTCCCCCTCACCTGCCACAAATGCCTCCTGGCTCCCCAATCCCATCCCCCCCACCCTGTGTGTGCAGCGTGCTCTGTACACGGTGCACTCCAAGCCATGAGCATCTCGCGCCCCTGGAATGAACCTCTCAGGTGTGTGTGTGGTTCTCGCTCAGTTGTTTCTTTTGTTTTTAAATCCTCACCTGAGGATATTTTTTCATTTATCTTCAGATAGAGTGGGAGGGGGACAGAGAGAGAGAAAAGAGAGAGAAACATTGATGTGAGAGAGAGACATCGATTTGTTGCCTCCTGCACGACCCCCACCGGGCTGGAGACCCAACCGCGCTAACCGCTGAGCCAAACCAGGGCTCAGTTGTTTCATTTTTAAGTGGATGAAATTCTCTCGTAAATACAGAAGAAGAGGTACAGTAGGGTTTGTTTGCTTCGTGTGGTGTCATCTCTATGGCTTTGCAGATTTGTTAAGCTTTGTAAGAAATGTAGGTGTGTTTGGGGCACAGTGGCTGCCCCAGGGTTCAGCTGACACCCACCTTGACGGCCAAGAGTGATATCATTCTCCACCTGTGCAGGGAAGCAAGGGAGACCCCGGCCCCATTGGTGCTCCTGGGGAGAATGGCTTGGCAGGAGCCCCTGGACCAGCAGGACCGCCCGGGCCCCCCGGCCCACCCGGACCCCCTGGGCCTCCAGGATCTCCAGGATCAGGACTTCCCGTGGGGTTTGTGAGTACCGGCTGCTCCTGGCCCCAGGAGGCCTGGGTCTGTGCCCCATGGCTCCCTCCCAGCATCGCACACTGACTGCCCTGTAGAGGAGTCCCCATGTGTGACCTGTGAGTGCTGGGCGGGCTGGTTGGCCTTAGGGCACAGTGAGTGTGGGTCTCCTGAGTCACATCACTGCCTGGACAGTGCCTCATGGTGGAGCCATGGGACGGTAGAGGGAACAGGTGCCCATTTCCACAAATGGTCACTGCTTGGGGACCATGTCCCATGAGTGATGCTGAAGGGCTGCTCCTGGGAGACAAAAGCAGAAACTGAGCAGCACCATCACAGAGCAAGGTCCCGGCACATGCTTAGAACAAGAGTGAATGACCTAAACCCCAAACTTCAGAGAAACTGAATAGGCACCCACCCAGCAGGTCCCTGCCCCCATGCAGACACTTCTTATTCGAGGACGAGGATGGCCGCTGCCAGGCGACCGGGTCCTTGGAGTCCGCCCTGCTCAGCCATGGCTAGATCTCCGCCTCGGGCCCGTGGCCAGCCTCGGGGAGGATCTCTTTCTATAAGAAGAGACACACACCTGAGTCATTTGTTCTCCAGGATGACATGGAAGGCTCCGGAACACTTTTCTCGTTGACATACCGAGGTGCTGATGGGCTTCAGGTACTGCCTGCAAGTGTAATTGGTCAACTCTCGGGGTGTGGGGGCACCTGGGGCAAGGGGAGTCCCTGGAACCCGCCTAAGTGGGGACCAAGAGCAGTGCCGCTGAGCCAGTGGGGCCACCTGAGTCCAGGGCACCGTCCACCCTGGAGGCTCCCCCACGTGGGAAAATGCCCCTGGTGGTCGACATGAATGAATGTGGGGGGAATGAGATAGGTCTTTCCAGGGCATGTCGGTCACTGAGTTCTGCTTGGCACCTTGGATGTCTCTGCTGGCTAGAGGGAGCGGCCGGACGAGTTTTCCATTCTGAGCAACATCAACAAGAATTTCCATTTGGACAGAAACTCAGTCCATAGTCAGCTAGGATGGCTGTACCGTCCCAACTGAGTACCTTCCTTTTACATATTAGAACAGCTCAGTCCTTGTCAGCAGCAGCTAGCTGCCCTGACGTCAGGTGAGGTGTGAGCCAGAGATTCCAATTATTGCTGTGACACCAAGGTGGGCAGGATCCTGTGGGCAGAGGCAGTGAAATCTGGGGCACAGGTCCCCTCTGTCCAGTTTCCAGGCCCAAGTACACAGCTCCAATCCCCCTTGACCTCTGGAGGGGTCGGTGGGACTATTTCAGGCCTCAGAGGTGAGGTGATGGAGACCCTCGAAGGTCACAGTGAGGCTAAACCAGCCAGAGGGCGGCATTCCATCCATTCAAATGCACTTAATTTTAGTTAATAAAATGCAAACCTGTTTGGTTAGGGTGATCTGAGCTGATTGCCCAGGCGGGGCTGGCTCAGGGCTGGCATGGGGACGGGCACACCCACTGCGGTTAGTTTGTGTCATGTCTGTGGGGCTCTAGATGGTGCCGAGGACAGATCACCCTCTTGGTGGGATTTCAGGGGTGGGGCCCTGGCTCCTGTTGACAAACTTGATTTTTTCCATTTCACTGGGAGCAATAGACTGGGAAGGGCTTGTTTTCTTGGGGGAGGGAGACGTTTTCCCAGCAGGACCAGGATCTAAGGGCCTCTTCCCTCTCTGCCCCCACAGGGACCGCCTGGCAGACCTGGAGTTAAGGTAAGTGCAAGATTAGTTATTGGGCGCCCCTGCTGCACCCCCCCAGCCAGGAGTTATTTATTGCTTCATGCCCCCAATTCATCGTGAGAAGTGTGGGGACAACAGTCACGCACTCCAACCCAGAGCCTACATGTTGGGGTGGGGTGTCTGACCCATCTTTCTAAAACCATGTGACCTAAGATCCCTGGCCTCACACATCTGAAATGTGTGCTGACTTGGGAACAAAAAGGGGCTTCGGAAGGAACCCCTATGGCCCTCGGGACAGCAGATGGTGCCCTGGATTCCCTGGGGACTTCTCTTGGGCCATCCCTCAACCTCATCTTGTCTGTTCCCTGCTTGCTGTCTGCTCCCTGACCTGTCCCTGGAGGATACCTGCCCCTCCTGGGCAGGTGCCCTCACCTCACCATGGTGGTGAAGGCAGGAGGAACCCCCAAGAGGGCCCCCACATGGGGCTGCTATGTGCTCCTGCTCCCCCACTCATGGGTTCTAGGGTGCTCGGGGCCCACTGAGGGATCCCCTGCTATTCCACCTCTTCTTTTTAGAGTGTTTTGCTTGCCCAGCCAGTGTGGCTCAGTGGTTGAGCATCTACCACACACCAAGAGGTCGCTGGTTCTATTCCCGGTCAGGGCACATGCCCAGGTTGTGGGCCCGATCCCCAGTGGGGGGCATGCAGGAGGCATCCAGTCGACGTTCTCTCTCATCAGTGTTTCTATTTCTCTCCCTCTCCCTTCCTCTGTCTTCAAAATCAATTTAAAAAAAATGTTTTGCTTTGATTTGCAAAATTTGGGACATTTCAAAAGTTGAGTTTAAAAAATGAAGTCTTCTGATAGAATGGCTCGATGGTGTGGCCTCCAGAACAGCTCCATCTGTGTGCCCTTGGCATGTGGCTGGTCGAAAAGTCCCCGCACACGGTGCTCAGTGTCCCCGGGATACTCAGCTGTGAACTGGGGGAGGGGAGCAGTGTGAGAGGCCATCGGAATAACTGACCCTTTCTTGCCTTTCTCTGGGGACGGGTGGACGCCACCACGGGGTTGGGCCAGCCCAACACTGCATTCACAGCCCCTTCATCCGTTTTAGGGGGATCCTGGAATAGCTGGGTTACCGGGGACCAAGGTAAGAAGCTTTTCTCGGGTCCAGGAAATCGGCAGTCTTTGTTAGCCCTGCTCTGGGGGCAGGGAGGGATCCTTCCCCAGCTGAGGCCAGAAGCCTCGGCTGGGCTGTGCCCCTTTGGCTCCGGCCCACCCCCCGCAGTCATGAGAGAGTCCGCACAAGGCCACCCTCCAGGCCAGCCCAGCATCATTCATTCTCCCCTCTCCCCGGTTCATCCTTGTGCCATCTCGGCCCTGACTTTATTCCTTAGAATTTAAGAACTTACTTGTTCCAAGCGTGCTCACTCCGAGGGTACACCTTCTTCCCCACCCCCAGGTTTTGCTGCATCCTCTGACCCTCCTCCAACCCCTGGCCCCTCGCCCTGTCCTGCCTTCCTCAATTGCTAAGTGCTTCTAGGAGGCCAGATCATTCTTAAGTGTGAGCTGCAGCCTGTCACCTCCCCAATTCAGGGGCGGTGTCTGACTCACGGTCCTCTCCTCGTGTCCTTTGCAGGGAGAAGTTGGTGCAGATGGACCCCCTGGGTTTCCTGGCCTCCCCGGCAAAGATGGTGTAGCAGGAGCCCAGGTAGGTGACCACCAAGGGCTGCCGAGGGGCGTGACACCCCAGAGGTGAGAGCGGGCACCCCAGCATGTCTCTCGGGGTGTCCTCTGACTCATTCTCTGTATGCCAAGGGCCCTGGAGACTCCACTCCAGGGGATGATTCGGGAGTCCAGGCTACCCAAGGGAGTTTTCTGTGGGTGCCTGGCTCATCCCCCGACCCCCGACTCCATTTGACCAGTGAAAGGACTGGCCATCCCTCATTCAAAGCGGGTCCCAGGAGTCCGGGGTGACCTGGTCGGGGGTGGGGATGGCTCATGCTCTGTTTATGATGAAACATTTCCTTCCTGTGTCTGCAGGGACCAAAAGGAGAAAAGGGGACCCAGGGAGAGAAAGTGAGTGAGACTGCCTTGGGTGCACAGGTGGGGTGGTGGGTGCACGGCGGCCTTGGGGCGCTGCCCTTCACCTCATGTGGTCTTGGAGACTTTGGGGGAAGACCTTCAAGTCTAGGGAGCTCTCAGGCTGGGGTGGGGCCTCTCAGGGCACCTCTTCACACCCTGCGGGCTCTGGGGTCCAGCCAGAGCCACTGCAACAAGTTTACGCCTGTAAGCAACCCAAGCACTGGACACAGACTTCTTCTTCCAGGGCGACCCAGGGAAGGATGGAGTGGGGCAGCCAGGCCCCCCAGGGCCCCCCGGACTCCCAGGGCCCATCGTCTACGTGTCGGAGCAGGACGTAAGGACACTGCCTGGGTGGGCACATGCTCCGCCTGCACCCCCAGTACAGGTTACAGCCAGTGCAGGGTTGACCCTCAACTGCCAGGGGCCACGCTCTGATTCTAATGCAGGCTGGGAGGACCTTGGGCAGAGCCCCCAGCCCTCCGCCCATAGGGCGAACCCCAAAGACCTCAGGGTTTTCAAGTCTTTAGTTCTGTGGGCTTTCTCCATATTGAAGCAAAGCCTTCCAGAGCCGCCCTGTTGGCAGCGTGTCCTTTGTCTGCGGGCCACCCGTCCAGATGCTGCCCCCGCACCCCAGCCCCCAATGCACAGTATGGGGAGGCGGGGACTCTCGTCCCCTGGTCCCAGGGTTGGACAGTTCTACAGTTCAGGAGGTGGTCTCACAGGTGGGCTTCACTTCTCATCTGAGGGACCTAGAGTCACAAGCCAGAACTGTTGAAAGCAAAATTTTGTCCCACGTTTAATTCCTGGTGTTCTGTTGGTCTTGTGACAGTGATAAAATGAGAGTGGAGTTTTAATTGTAAACATGGTTTTCTTCTCATGATTTTGTGTTTCTGCCGGCTTGGTGACAGAGAGCGGTGGCCGTGACCCATGGAGTCAAGGTACGTGCTGCCTCGTCTGGAATGCAGCTGGGCTGTCCTGTGTCGGTCCGCGTCCGCCCAGTGACACTGTTGCTCTTTCCCACAGGGCCAGGCGGGGTACGCGGGCCTCCCCGTAAGTAGCCTCAGCCCCACCTCCGCCCTGGCAGGGAGTGGGGTTTCCACGCTGTGAAGGAGCCCAGTGCCGGCTGGGTGCCCGCTAGGCTGCAGAACCTCCCGACCCCTTAGCAGGGTGGGACAGGCCTTGTCCCGCCTGTGACTGGGCGGGACCATGAGGCAGCGGTGTCCTGGGAAGCCATGCGGGGAGAGTGTGAGTGGTCATCTCAGGGAGTGGGTCCCTCATGCGGCCCCTCATTCCTACCTATCTCCCTGCAGGGACCAGCCGGGTCGAAAGGAGACATAGGCTCCAGAGGCCAGCAGGGCCCCCCAGGACCCAAGGTGAGGGGCTTGGTGTCATCTGCTCAGGGATGCCCCCCTCTGTGACCCTGAGGGGCAGTCCTGGTTCACATAGGTGATCACTGTCTGGGTTGGGGGTACCTGGAAGCTCCCACGGCCCACCTGAAGCCTGAGACAGATTCTGACACGGGTTCTCCTCAGTCACTTCCGTGTGACCCATGGGGGACCCCCCAAGACTTCTAACCACAGAGCCCCCAGAAGGGAGGCCTGCTCATTGCGCACCTTTTCTGGGGTGCTGGCGTGGACGGCCCGGTTGGGGCCTTGCTCCCGCGGGTGCGAGGCCCGGGCTCCTGGGCTGACTTCCCTGACCACGCTGCTCGATGCTCCAGGGCGAGAAGGGGGAGCCAGGCATGGTCTTCGGTCACGACGGCAGAGTGCTGGCCCCCGCGCAGAAAGGAGCCAAGGTGAGACAACGGCCTGGCCTTGCTTCTCGCTCCCCGCACAGGCCGGGAGCAGGGTTTCCAGGGTCTTGGAGCCAGCATGGGCGGGGAGGTGGTCTTTCCAAGAGGGGCCAGCTCTTGGCCATGCACAGGAGCCTCCTGAGCAGGGTTCTGGAACTTTCCACAGCCTGGGGGCCCTTGCCCTTCCCTGCCTGTCACTCTTTCACAACCGTATTGAGAGGGTGCTGCTCACTCAGAAGGACCACTGCCCAGTGGCCCTTGGTCATCCCCTGCCCCTGTGGCCGAGCCAGCCCTGCACAGGGCCCGGAGGCACTCGTGGCCATGGCTCTGGACTCACTCCTTAACCTGGCCTTGCCTGCGGGGGGTGGAGCCAGCTTTGCCCGGTGGGAGCTGCCTCGTCCAGCTGGGTCCTGGCCCTCCTTCCGCAGGAGGCAGAGCATGGCTAGGATCAAGCATGGCCTCTTGAGGGGCCTGTGCCCTGGGCCCCTGCCCCAGCAGATGACCCTCCAGACAGGCCCTTGGGTGGGTCCTGGGGAGTAACTGGGCCCCGACTGGTATCTGTGGGTGCAGGCCTGCAGGGGGCCCTGACGCCCCCATTATTGTTGAGGATGGGCCATGGGACCTTGGATCTCAGGCCCAGAGAAAACTGCCATCCCCACCTGGCTTCGTACCTGAGGTTAGGGCCATGATGACTCTAACCAGAACACTGCAGGGCAGCTCCCCAAGCGTTAGGGTCCCCAGGGTGTGCCCCTTCCATGCGCCCTGGAACAGAAACCACTCCAGCACCTTGTCTGCGCTGTCGTTTCCTTCCCTCCTCCGGTGATCAGTGCTTCAGTGTCGCCTGGTGGGCATCCAGATGGGCATGGGGACCCCTTGCGGGCTGACTCGGGGAATGGCCTGCGGTCACCTAACAGTGCTTCTGGTTTCTGTGCAGGGAGAGCCCGGCTTCCGAGGACCTCCGGTGAGTAGGCCCGTACTTCCCAACATGCCTGTGTGTGTGCTGTGCTCTGAAAACCCCGGTCGCCTCCTGCTACTGAGAAGTATGAGCGGCCGGTTTACATCCCAGCTCACGTTTAAAGCTCAGGACAGGTGCTGGCGTGAGACCGCAGTGTGGTCTGTGTCTGCTCTCCTGAAACGTGGCTCATCCTCTCCGCAGGGTCCATACGGACGGCCCGGGCACAAGGGAGAGATTGGCTTCCCTGGACGACCAGTAAGGATCCATTATCTCTTGCTGTGTGTGTGTGGTCGGGGAGGGAGCGGGGGGCACCAGGCAGAGAGCAGCCCAAGCCCACAGGGGCCACAGACCTCCCCTGCCTCCTAGCTAGGGTGGCCCTGCCTGAACACAGCTGTCTTTGGGACAGGGCGAGGAGTCCTGGCCCTGCTCACGGGCAGCTCAGATGCCGGAGGGGCCAACACCTCTAGAAGGCCCTGGGTGGGGACGGGAGCTTCGGGGCCCCAGCCCCCCAGGGCCTACGGGCTGGGGAGGTGTGAGGCTAGAGGTGGGCTGGGTCTGCTTGGGGACTGAGATGGTGACTGAGGCCGTGGTCTTGGTCAGCCCCCAGCAGTTCTCCCCACCACTCTTCCCAGGGTCGTCCCGGGATGAACGGAGTCAAAGGGGAGAAAGGGGAGCCAGGAGATGTCAGCATCGGATTTGGTGCAAGGGTGAGTGTCCTGCAAGGCCTGGACCGGGCACAGCCGAGACACCCAGCACCTGGAATGGCCTGTCCGGAACAGCCTTCGGTCCCAGGCTCATCTTCAGGAGGCGGCCCTGTGGTGTGACCACTCTGTGTCAGTCCTCTCTCACCCCCGCCCCTGCCATGCACACAGGTAGACAACATACACGTCCACATGTGCACGTATGCACACACAGAGCCAGTGCACCGGGAACAGGAACCCTTTCTTGGAAGGACATCCAGGTTGGCGTGGGTTCTGAGCTGCAGGGTTCTCGTCACCCAGTGCCGCATTATAATTTGCAGTAACTGTCATCTTTTGAGCCCAGGGATTTATTTTAGTAATGTCAGCAGGGTAAGGCTTTTGTAGCCATTCTACCTGAGCCTCGGGGCTTGCTTCTGACATGTGGGCACCCAGTGCCCCTCCTGCCACACTCTTGTATTCTCTCTGGAAGCCCAGCTCCACTCCGAATCTCAGCCCAGAGCCCCTCCCGCCCCTCTCTGGTCCCTGGTCCCTGTCCCGAGCTCCTGTGACCCAGCCTGGCAGAGATAGTGGGCCTGAGCTCAGTGTTCCAGGCAGTCTGCTCTTGTGAGCTTTTCCGTGTTACTGGTTCTTCGTGGAGGCTTCCTTCTCTCTTGTGGCCTAAAACTGGGCTGTTGTGAAAAATCGGGACAGGAGGCAACATTTGTCAGGGTTCTGACACAGTGATGGAACAACGGGTCACATTTGTAAATGAGAAAGAGAGGCTCTTGTATTCTTTTCATGCTGGTGAGTTTTTTTGTTTGTTTGTTTGTTTGGTTTTAATATATCTTTATTGATTTTTGAGGGAGAGGGAGAGGGGGAGAGAGAGAGATAGAAACAGCAATGAGGGAGAAGCATCAACATTGATTGGCTGCCTCCTGCACGACCCCCACCAGGGATTGATCCTGCAACCCAGCATGTGCCCTGACTGGGAATTGAACCAGGACCTCTCAGTCCATGGGACGACGCTCAGTCCACTGAACCATGCCAGCTGGGCCACGCTGTTGAGTTTTAAAGGTGGATATGGCCCTGGCCGGCTTGGCTCAGCGGTTAGAGCGTCGGCCTGTGGTCCAGAGAGACCCGGGTTCGGTTCCCGCTAAGGGCATGTACCTCGGTTGTGGTTTGTCCCCAGCCCTGGCTGGTCATGCGGGTGGCAGCCACTCGATGTGTCCCTTTCACGTCGATGTTTTTCTCTCTCTCTCTCCTTCCCACTCTATCTGAACAAAAAATGGAAAAATGTCTTAGGGTGAGGATAAAAAATAAAAAAATAAATAAAATAAATGAAGGTGGGTATGAATGGCAGGTCAGGCACGCCCCTCCTCCAGCTCTGCTTTCAGTCTCTCCTTCCTTGGCCACACCCAGACAGCGGCTTGGGGAGTGGCCATTGTGACTTTCAGAAATGCTGCTGCCCACATGGCCACCCTGGCCAGTGTCAGTGGCCTTGCTGTGAACATGACTGACCAAAGCTTTCGGTTTCCCTCACACAGGGTCTGCCTGGCCCCCCAGGGCCTCCAGGGCCCCCAGGCCTTCCCGGGATCCCTGTCTATGACAGCAACGTAAGTTGCCTGGCACCCATTTTCCCTTCCTCAGTCCCTAGACAGAGTCCTTGGTCGCTGCTGCCTTCCCACCACTGACCCCCACCGGCCTCTGGGAGGGCAGCCCAAGCCACCCCCTCTGTGGAGGGGAGATGGGGTACTTCTGAAAAGGGGCGGGCCTGCCTCGGGGGCCACAGTCGATTAGAAGACAAGTCCCCGAGGGAAGTGCAGGCGGAGAGGCAGGGAGAGCTCTCTGCATCCGGGCACCTGAGCGCCGAGCCCCAGGGTCCTTGGGAGGGTGGACATCCCCATTTCATGAGGCTCAGAGACGAGAACTATGATCAGGGCTTTCGATTCCAGACTCCGTGGCCTTTCCCTTTCCCTCCCTGCACCCCTGTGTCGGTCTCGGGTGGCTGAGGGGTGGAGGGTGCCATGTGGCCTTGAAGAGGGTGCTGGGGCTTCTGGCTCAGAGACCCCTGGGTGTGAGGTGGCCTTAGTTTCCAGAGTGTCTCCCTCAATGGCCACCTTTGGCGCATTCTTTGCAGGCATTTGCGGAGTCTGGCCCTGCTGGACCTCCCGGACTGCCAGGTGAGGGCTCCTGGGGCCCCGGGAGGGCTGGGGTGGGCAGCCCTTCGTGTGCTGGATGCTCCGGGACTCGGCGCTCCCTGCTCCTCTGGCTCTGGGGGACCTAACTGGATGGGAGTGGACACAGTGGACACCCACTTGCTGTCTACAATTTAGATTTGGCTCTGGGGGGCATGTTTCTCTCACACATTCAATAATGGGCACTGGGGTCTCTGTCCCTGCAGGACACCACGGGCCTCCTGGACCAAAGGGTGACAAAGGAGATGTGGGCCCGCCTGGATCACCAGGTGAGAGTGCTCCGGGTGGACCTGGGCTGGGGGGCGGCACTTGAGGTTACCTGTCCTGCCCTCTGGAAGAAGGAAGCCCCTTCCAGGCTCCTAGGACCTGACAGGACTGTGGAGCTGGGGCTGGATCGAGGACACCTGGTTGGCCCCATAGCCCCACCCCACCCCACCCCACCCAGCACCCAGGGGGCAGCAAGGACAGTGGGGCCAAGGCAATGCCAGGCAGGGTGTCCCTTCATCCCACCTGCTGAGGAGCAGGGCTGGCTGGGCCCAGTGTGTGCCTCCCAGAGAAGATCCGGCACCTCTGGTCGGGATGGTGAAGGGCCTTGTGGGGAGAAGGGAATGATGCGGCTGAGACACGGTATAAAGCACAGTGGAACCACGCGGCCTCATTCGACAGCACAGCGGAGTCCAAGGCTCTGAGACCCAGCCCTGCTCAGGAGGCGGCGAAGGCCTCGTGCATGGGAGACTAAGTGTTAGAAGTGCCCCATCGCCTCAGGGATGAGCCATGAGTGGAAGAGGGACGTGTAGCTAATGACCAGCGGAAAGGAAAAACAACATGGAAAACTTGATCCAAAGACAGAGAGAAAAAGGAGCACAGAGCAGGTAGAACAAATAGAAAACAGGGAGCAAAATAGTTCCTTTAACCCCAACTTTATCTGTAAGTGCAATAGGTCAGATACTCATGTTAAAGCACAAAATCCTCAGTGGCTAAAAACAAAACTGTACGCGGCTTACAAGAAACACCCCCTAAAAGCGAGGCCATGAGAGCACATGTGTGTGCACGTGTGAGAAAGCAGACCAGTGCGTCTAAAGGCAGAGGCGTTGCCAGAAATAAAACACTCATAATGGTAAAAGAAAACCCACCAAACAAAAGAAAACACAGCAAGTCCAAATCTCTCTGCACCTAACAACATAGCTTCAAGATATAAAAAGCAAAAATCAACAGAACTAAAAGGAAAAACACAAAAACGAATATCACGGGACATCTTAACCCGGCTCTCAGTAAGTGATGGGACCCGCAGAGAAAGGACAGGTCAGTCAATAGATGGAGGATCTGAATAGGTGACGACCTGAACCCCGGATCCTGACACCAACACGGAAGACAGCCTGTCCACCACAGGGGCCCACACCAGGCGAAAGCAAGTCTGCAAGTTGAGAGAAGGTGACAACGTGCAGAGTCTGTTCTCTGACAGCAATGGAGCAAGCAGGAGATTGTCACTGAGGTTGAAGCTGGAAAAGAACCCAGATATGGAGAAACCACAATAGCAGCCCTCACTGTGTGCCCTCCATGGACCTGGAACAGCAAGATCCCCATGTGATAAGAAGGACCTGGGACAGGAAGCCTGGTGGTGACAACATGTGAGCTGGGCCGCCTTAGGCACAGTTTCCCGTAATAGCCCAGAGCTGGGTCTCCCACCAGGCAGTGTGTTACCCCCGCCCTCCCAGGTCCCACAGTGTACACAGCAGGGCTCATGTCACCCCAGTGGTCCCGCCTGCCAGCTTTATCAGGTTTCCAGGGGAAAGGTCATGGGAGAAAGTTAACTCAGGTCACTTCCCCGCCTGGAAGGAGAAATGGTTTTGTTCACTATTTATAAAATCACAGCTTTAAATTATACACATTTCTTTTTTTTTAATATGTTTTTATTGGTTGTTTTTTTTTAGAGAGAGGAAGGGAGAGAGATACAAACATCTACGTGAGAGAGAAACATCAATCAGCTGCCTCCTGCACGTCCCCTACTTGGGATGGAGCCCGCAACCTGGGCATGTGCCCTGGCCAGGAACTGAACAGGGACCTCTTAGTCCATGGGACAACGTTCCATCCACTGAGCCACACTGGCTGGGCCAGTTATACACATTTATAAGCATCCAGCTCAAGAAGCTAGAAAACAAATAACAAATTAAACTTGAAGCAAATAGATGGGAAGAAATAGTAAAGATCAGAAGTGAGTAAAAATGTATATATAATAGGAAGCATCAAGAAAGTCAAAACATCCCTGGCCAGTTTGGCTCAGTCGTTAGAACGTCGGCCCGCAGACCAATGAATCGAGGGTTGGATTCCAGTCAAGGGCACGTACCTCGGTTGTGGTTCCTCCCTGGCCCTGGGTGGGTCATGCGGGATGCAATCAATCTCTCTCTCTCTCTCTCTCTCTCTCTCTCCTTCTTTCTTTCTCTCCCTCCCTCCCACTCTATCTGATGATGATTAGAAGAATATTCTCGGGTGAGGATTTAAAAAAAAAATAAAAAGTCAAAACAGCAAGTTAGTTATTTGAAAAGACTAATAATACTCACGTGCCCCTCGCATGACGGACAAAGGAGAGAGGTGCGGCATCACGTGGGGAAGGCGCTACTCTGATCTGGTGGAATGTCCACGAGAACTGACACCCACCGTCCTCACTGCGGTTGTGGGGCTCCAGAGTCGGGGCCCCGGTGGGATCTCTCGTCCTCACTGCAGGTGCAGGTGCAGGCTGGGAGAAAGGCAGGGAAGGAATACATGGTGTACATTTTTGGAACGGAGAAGTACACCTGCCATTTTCATAGATAACATGTTTTTGATCGTCAACAACCCAAAGGAGCTACAGATAAACGGTTAGAATTAATAAGTAAATTCATCAAGGTCGCAAGGGCAATTTACAAAAGAAACGACCAGTCATAAACAAACTGAAGTTTTAGAAAGACACCCTTTAGAAAGATACCAGATTGGTCATTGTCAGAGGCAGGGGTGAGAGGAGGGAGAACTGGGTTAGGGAAGTTAAAAGGTACAAACTCCCAGTTATAAGGTAAGTCCTGGAGTTGTGATTAACACTGCTCTGTGGTATATCTGAAAGTTGCTAAGAGAGTAGATCGTAGATCCCACAAATTCTCATCACAAGGAAAAACTTTTTTGTACCCATATGGGGTCATAGATGTTAAGTAAACTTAATGTGGCGATCATTTCACGACACACGTAAGTCAAGTCATTTTGCTGACACCTTAAACTCATACATTATGTCAGTTATATCAATAAAACTGAAAGGGAAAAAAAGGCGCCATTAATAAAAGCATCCAAAAAGCAATCAGGTAACTGGGAATAAATGTAACAAAATGGGCAGAGAATCTACGCGGAAATAAAGAAATTTCATGGGAGGAAATGGAAGACGCAGAGAGGTGCGTGTGGGGCGTGGGGTGTAAATGAAAGATGCATGGACTTCTCACCAAGGCCCCGTCCAAAATCTCTCCTGCAGGGCAGTTCCCATTCGACTTCCTCCACCTAGAGACTGAGCTGAAGGTGGGTGACCCCCTTATCCCTTCGCTGAGCCTCCTCAGACCACAGCCCTGCCAAGCACTTCCCTCGGCCCAGTCCACGTGGGCACTGGCTGTTCCTGGCTGGGTTTTGTGGGGACTCATTCAGATACAACAGAAGGCCTGCAAGGCCTGGGCTTCAGATGTTCCCAGCTGCTTCACCCTGCCCACCTCCAGGCTGGTGGGGGTCAGCACCCGCCCCTCCCCATACCAGCAATGAGAGCTGGCCTGTATCTCAAGCAAGCATTTCTGTCCACAGGGGGAGAAGGGTGACCGAGGGGACACCGGACAGAAAGGAGAAAGGGGCGAGCCTGGGGGTGGCGGATTCTTTGGCTCGAGTGTGCCTGGACCCCCCGGCCCACCAGGCTACCCTGGGATTCCGGTAAGTCTTGGCTTCAGGCCAACCTGTAGGTGCTCACTCACAGACCCAGGCCTGGGTCAGAGTCTGTGTTCCCAGAGGTCCCTGGGCCAGGAGCTGAGGGCAGGGCCAGCCTGGCCATGATCACCCAATGAGCAGGCTGTACCCTGCAAGCTGGGCCCCAAACACTCCTATCCTGCTTCTGCCCCTGTGGGGGCACGTGGCAGATCCGGTGGGTGCAGTTGCTGCCCTTCCCCCAGGGTGGGCACACTGACCTGGTGGTGTCTCCAGCTGGGGAGGAGGGTGGACAGGATGGAGCCCTCACCCAGTACTTGTGATTGATCTGCTGGCGCTGTTCCTCCTTATCAGGACCCCACCAAGGCCCCTCAGAGTGCCATCTGCTCAAAAGATGCCAGGGAACAGTGAGCCCAGCTTCTGCCTGGGGGATGGAGGGAGACTAAGGGCCCTCAGGGGCCACATCTCTGTTCAGGGGCTGCTCTGGTCCACACGCTGGAATCAAACCCAGCAAAAGGAACATGGGGTGGGGGCGGGCAGATCTCCCAGGCCCTGCGGTGTGGGCAGAGGCCATGCTTCCTGCAGAGGTTCTTCTCAGATGCAGCCCAGCCCCTCAAACGTAAGTGTCCTTGGCCTGGGGACTTAGCTGACGATACCACATGCCTTGTTGTCCATCCTAGGGTCCCAAAGGAGAGAGCATCAGGGGCCAGCCTGGCCCACCTGGACCTCAGGGACCCCCCGGCATTGGCTACGAAGGGCGCCAGGGGCCTCCAGGGCCCCCCGGGCCCCCAGGACCCCCAGGGCCCCCTTCCTTTCCTGGCCCTTACAGGCAGAGTAAGTCAGGTGGGGAGTGGGTCTGGGCTCCAGCCTCACAGCCGAGGCTGGCAGGTTCCCACCTCTGGTGTCTCCCTTGTAGCTATCAGCGTTCCTGGGCCCCCAGGCCCACCTGGGCCCCCAGGACCCCCTGGAACCATGGGCACCTCCTCAGGGGTAAGCATCCCCCTGACCCTGACTGCCTGGTCGCCTGCCCGGCCACCCTTCCCTTTGGAGGCCTGTGGGTGGGGCTGCTTCAGAGGAGTCCTGGGTAAACCCCGCAGGGACTCTACAGGGACCCTGGTGCTGAGGCTGGCTTTGCCCTGGGCATACACTGAAATGTGATTTCTGAAGCAGAAGTGGGGCTCCCAGGGTCATGACCAAGATGGGCAGGGGGAAGAGGACAGCCACGGAGGAGGTCCTAGTGGGCGGGTCCATGTGCAGAGGCCCAGGGACTAGCAGCACTCATGGATGACGGGAGAGTTCATGCCACATGCCCCTCCCCCTCCTTCCTGAGGGCAGCCTCGTCCACCCGGCCTTCACAGGGTGTTCTCAGGGGCCAGCCTGACGAGAAGGTGCCCCGCTAAATCTGGTGTCCCCACCCCAGCACCCTGAAATGTCCAAATGCAGTCCCCTGACCGCCACACCCTGTCCAGGACTATGTTGCATCCCTGTCCCACCCCTTGCCCCGTGAGCCTGATGCCGTCTCAGTACGCAGTGGGACCCCAACAGGTGAGGATCTGGCCCACGTACCAGACCATGCTGGACAAGGTGCCAGAGGTGCCCGAGGGCTGGCTCATCTTCGTGGCGGAGAGGGAGGAGCTGTACGTCCGCGTCCGAAATGGGTTCCGGAAGGTCCTGGTGAGTTCTCTGGGTGGCCTTTCCCTGTCCCTTCTACCTTCATCAGGGTAGGACATGGGAGAAGATGTAGGATGCATGGAGGAAGGCCCCAGGCCCCTGGGCAGGGAGCACAGGGACCTAGGCCACTGCTGGCCCCCACAGCAAGCCCCCTCTGCCACGGTCAGGACCTTCAGGACCTTCCTTCAGGGACTAGTGACAGCCAATGCTCCTCACAATATATATATTTTTTTTAATTAGTAGAATTTTTTTAAGGAGTTTTAGGTTTACAGAGACCTAGCCCTCACACTTTTTAACGTGCGTGGAGGTATTAAATGTGTAGTGTGCCAGGCAACGGGCAGGCCCGGGATGCAGCCATGCGGGTTTCCATGGGCAGGATTGCCAGCTGTGGGTGCTGGTCAGTCAGGTCCTCGGAGTAACTGACCCCCGTGTTTTCTTCCAGCTGGAGGCCCGGATACCACTTCCGCACGGGACGGTAAGGAGCTGTTCTTCCCCAGCTGTCAGTTTAGGGGTGCACGTCTTCGAGCCTGGTGGATGGCCAGGACGTATGGGGCATGCAATAGTGGTCTGTGTGCTGCCTCGTGTTTCTGGAACAACACTTGGTGCTTTAGGACCCTGGGGCCACCCCTGCTGGGGAGATGGGGTGCACAGACCATCAGAGGGCCTCCCTTCAGTCTACGCCCATCGTCTTCCCCAGGCTCCTGGGGCCAAAATCCACTCTTCATTTGAGCCTTGGTCATCCCTGATACAGCGTGCAGGGCACCGTAACAAACCCTTCTAGGGTGGACAGGGGGTGGATGGAGGGGGGAACAGGAGAGGGAGATGGGTGGATGAATGGACTGAAATAAGTGCTTGAGTTTACTTCCCAGAGCTGTAGTCTCCTTTTAAAAATCATGTTTTCTCAAATGGCTCAGCCCAAGGACCGGCAAGTCCATTTTTTCATTCATTCATTCATTCATTCATTCAGCACATAATCATGGGTCTTTCCCATATGCGGGCAGTTTTAGGCATGGGGTACGCGAAACCGGCAAGGTCACTGCCCCTGCAGCTGACATTGTACTATATGAAGCATAATGTATGATTATACAAATGTGCAAATATATAAGTTAATTATGTGAACTATAATTATAAATTATCAACAGATCCTAATTACTTAATAATAGGTATACAGAGGTAGCAGTAATAAATGGTATGATGTGTGCTGAGGTTTTCAGTGCTGCAGGAAAAAAGAACTGGGAAGCAGGTGGGAGGCCCAGGGACTGGGGTTCGGGTGGAGGTCACCTTGTTTCTGTGGTGGGGATGGAGCAAAGGCGTGAGGAGCTGAGAACGGGCCCGCTGGCGTCACGGCCTGGTGTCTGAGCTACCGTGAGGAAGGCGGCCTCGAGACCAGGATGTGGTCACCTACGGGCATCCCAGGCCACAGCAAGGAAGTGGCTTGACTGTGCTAGAACCAGCTGGTGTGTGAGCAGAAAGCCATCAACTTGATTTAGGATGGCTGGGCTCCCCGACCCTGGCTTCTGCCTGACACTACTGGTACCCCAGCTCACCACTCCAGTCCAGCTCACTCGCAACCAAGAGCACACGTTGGGATGCAGATGTACGGGGTGCTTTGGGATGGGCAGCCAGGAACCTGGGCCCAGGCAGGAGAGCAGAGCCTGAGGGGCACCATAGGAACTCCCTGAGGGGCTGACGGGTGTGGGAGCCCTCGCCCCATGTACTGTACGCCCCTCGACCTACAGGACAATGAAGTGGCCGCCTTGCAGCCCCCCCTGGTGCAATTGCACGAAGGTAACCCGCACCCCCGGTGGGAACGTCCCCCCTCCACGGCACGACCCTGGAGGGCAGATGACATCCTGGCCAGGCCCCCACGCTTGCTGGACCCCCAGCCCTACCCCGGAGTCCCGCACCATGGCTCCTATGTACACCCCCGGCCAGCCCGCCCCACTGGCATTCCCGCCCACACCCACCACGACTTCCAGCCGGCGGTGAGTAACCCTGGGGGCACGTGCCCACCAGCCTGAACTCCCAGGGAGGGTTCTCCAGGTCTGTGACTGCCCTCTGGTGACCGTCTCCAAAGCCATTCCTTGCTTATGTCCTGGAGAAGCTGGACTGATGCATATGACAGCACTGGGGACGGGTCCCACGGCCTCTTTTCCACAGAGGTGGCCGGTGAGGCCTGAGGACAGGGACTTGCTTAGGAGGTAGATGGAGGAGGCTGGCTGCTTCAAGTTGACTACCAGCTGTTCCCAGCCTGGGCATTGCTTTCTGGGCCCCCAGCACACCAAACATCTCAGCTGTCCTGGGCTGAGGGGCCCCAGGCTATTCTCCAGGACCCTAGTGGGTGCACTCAGCTCTCCCAGGCCCTACCTGTGCTCAGCCTCACCTCTACTGTCTATGCAGGGCTGGGGTGGGAGAGAGGGCAGGTGAGGGAGGGGGCGCCCAGGACTGCTACCTGATGTCACCAGCAGCTGACTGTAATTGACCGCTGCTCTCTTGCAGCTGCACCTGGTCGCACTCAATGGGCCACAGCCTGGTGGCCTGCGTGGCATCCGTGGCGCTGACCTCCAGTGCTTTCAGCAGGCACGTGCGGCAGGGCTAGCGGGCACCTTCCGTGCCTTCCTGTCGTCGCGCCTTCAGGACCTCTACAGCATTGTGCGTCGTGCCGACCGTGCCACCGTGCCCATCGTCAACCTCAGGGTGGGTGCACTGCCCTGTGCATGGGGCTCCCAGAGCTGGGGCGAGGGACTTGGAAATAGGGGGCACCGGGCCTGTTATGCCTCTGAGAACCCAGCAAGGCCCCTGTACCACAGTGCCCTTCACATGGCTTTATTTCGTGGCTCTTTACCACTGCTTTCCGGATGGCGGGGCGCCAGGCAGTGGACTCGCCCTAGACCCGGGGTCCAGGCTGGGGAAGGTGCATGGTTTGCTAAGGCACCCGGCCCCTGGTCCTCTCAGGGGGTGACCAGAGGTAGGAAAACTGGCCCCACTTCCCTCTGCAGGATGAAGAGCTGTTTCCCAGCTGGGAGGCCTTGTTCTCCGGCTCACAGGGCCAGCTGAAGCCCGGGGCCCGCATCTTCTCCTTTGACGGCAGAGACGTGATGCAGCACCCAGCCTGGTAGGTGCCCCGTGTGAGTGCAGCAGTGGGGGAGGAGAGGGGAGGATTCCGAATCTTGACTCTAGTGCAGGCCTTGGCTCTGCACCTAATTCATGCTCACTGTTTAAAACTCAAAACATCCAGAAGAGCACCGATACAAAGAATTCTTTGCATGTTGTACGAAACACCCTCACCAGCCTGCTCCCTGGGCAGGCACCCCACTGCTCCTGTCTGGGAGACCAGACGATGGTGGGTGCCCCGGGGGCCTGCCAGGATTGCCCAGCTCTGTCATGTAGACATCACAGCGAGTGGTTTCTCCTGTAAACTCCCTAAAGTGGAATTTCCCAGTTGGAGGATGTGTGCACGTCAAACACTGGTGCAAGTTGTCAGACTGCCTCACACCCATCATCCCTCTGCCGGCACGGTACGAGGGTACCTATTCCCCCAGTTCATGCTCTTAAAAGGTGGCTCGTGTGTCAGACAAGTGTGTGCCCCACCCTCACTGAGAAGCACCCTGCTCCCCATGCTGTGCCCCCAGAACAGTGGCAGCATGGGGTGCTATCTAAGGGTAGCACCTTGGTGACGAGTGATGGCCCGAGTCCCTGCCACCTGCACATCCAGCCGCAGCCTCCACCCTTTTCTGCCCGGGAGTGGCTTCCGTCTGGGGAGGAGCAGCGCCCAGGTGAGACTGACAACCCATGTGTCCTACAGGCCACAGAAGAGCGTGTGGCACGGCTCAGACCCCAGCGGACGCCGGTTGACCGAGAGCTACTGTGAGACATGGCGGACTGAGGCCGTGACAGTCACGGGCCAGGCCTCCTCATTGCTGACGGGCAGGCTGCTGGAGCAGAAAGCTGCGAGCTGCCACAATGCCTTCATTGTCCTCTGCATTGAGAACAGTTTCATGACCTCCTCCAAGTAGGGCTTCTGCCAGCTTGCACGATGTATGGACAGCCAGCCAGAGAGGAGGCCAGGTGGCAGGGGCAGTGGAGAAGCCCCCGTGCTGGGCCAGGAGCTGCAGCTGGCACCCCGGATGCGACCTAGCTGGGACACTTTCCTGTGTGGTTCACATTTCATGTAATCCTCCAGAAATAAAAGAAAGCCAAAGAGTGTATTTTTTAAAAAGTTTAAAACAGAAAGCCTGGCGTCAGCTCCTTCTCCTGCCCCCCCGCCCCCAAGCCTCGGCTGCCTTGATCTGGTCTTGCAGAGCCCTATTCTCGGATCGGAGCAGGGGGGACCCCTGGCTGTTCTCTAGGGGGTGTGTGCCCCAGGATTTCAGGTGCTGACTCAGTTTTCTGTCTGGAATCTGCTTTGAGACCAGCCACAGCCTCCCTCCTCCCCTCTCTACCTGGCCCAGTGGCAGTAAAGGGCCCTCCCTCCCCAGGCGGCCAGCAGTCAGGACGACTCGGGCCTTGGGTGCAAGAGGGGACCACCCCTCCTCTGCCTCTTGCAGCAATACCCCCCTGCCTGGGAGTATTTGCTAGGAGGCCCTCAGGTACCGGGCCAGATTGCCTCCTATTGAGCCCTGGATGGATTGAGCCCTGGTCACAGCTGGGGCAGGACAGGACTGGATCATGTCCACAAACAAGCCCGTGCGCAGGCAGTGGATGCAGCCGTGTGTTTTGTCCTGCTCCCCACTGTTACAATGCATCTCAAACCCACATCATTATCCTTGTGGGAGAACTTGAGGGGACATTTTGGGGTGCACGTAGGTCTCTCTGGGGGAGCTGGTGGCCATGCTCGGAGGGGTGGCAGGCCACAGCCCAACCCCCTCAAGGTCTGCTGTCCACACACTGCAGCCATAAACCAGAGGAGCTTGGTCCTGGTGACTGAGACATCGTTCCAAACAGGCTCCACATAGACAGCCGTGTACATGGGACACTCGTTTGTAGGCCTTCCCTGTCCTGAGACCAGTTCTTGGGGGCCTAAATCTCCACACACCCAGTGAGCAGACCCTGAAGGAGCCTCAATGTGCAGCATGCAAATATACACGGATGTACATGGTATGCATGGACGGCCCCGTGTGTACAGATGTACCGGGTATGCAATGGATGACTCTCCTCTAGTTCTCCCTGGGGCAGCAGCCTTCCCAGGACCATGCAGGGGATCTGCCCTGGGCTCCCACACCCAGCACCTCCGTGTTCTTCCCATAGGTGCTGCAGGAGGTGTCTGATCCTGACGGGCTGTGCACACTGCACAGAGCAGGGCCTCACTAGTGCCCTGGGAACAAATGCCACCCCTGCCCTGGTGGCCAAGGGGCTTGGGAGCCTGGAGGCAGAGTCTGAGCAGCAGGCTGTGCAGTGCACATGGAGAGGCTGCAGAGGGAGCAGCTGGGCCAGCTGCTGACAGTGTCCTGGAGGGCATCCCAGGGTGAGGGCAGAGGCCTTATCATGGGTCAGTGACCAGAGGTGAGAGACAAGTGAGGTCCCCCCAACCCCCAACCAACCCATGAAGTCTCAGTAGATCTCTGAGCATAAAAGAGAAATGGTGCTGGGCCCGGGGCTCAGTGCTGCCCCTTCCCAGCAGGGTCAGGGGGCAGTGGTGGCCGGTGTGGACACATCTGGGGACCAATCCACCAGTCTGACCCCCACCATCGGCCATGACTTGGGTCAACCCCTGTGTACACCCCTCCTGACTCATGGTGCCCCGAGATGACCCACTCAGCCAGCTCCAGCAGCCCCCCTCAGCAGGAGTGTTCTGACGCTCCTTGTCAAGCTGGCTCCCAGCAGCGGCCTTTCTCTAGAACCCACCGGCTCAGTTCAGGCGCTGCTCGGCCCTGCATGAGGGCAGAGGGTCATGAGAGGAGCAGCATCAAGGACATGGTAGTGGGCCCTGGGTGGGACCCTTCCTGACTCCAGCATGTCTGTCCAACCCTCAACCCCCAGGCCGGCTGGTTTGGAATTAGGAGCCCCTCACACTCAGGTCACATGGTTTGTTAAATGTTTCAGGTCTTACATCTGAACATGACTGGTTCCCAGAGCCCACGGTGGCATGTCCTCCAGGCTGGCATGTGAGCAGCCCAAGTGGCCTCCATCACCAGTGAGGCAGGCCAGTGTTAACCCACTTCAGGAAGGGTGAGGAGGATGGAGGGCCCAGTGCAAAGAAGCCAGTTCCCAAAGACTCCAGCACCCCCTCTTCCACCCAACGGGGAACCGCATGCCTGCCCAGCTTCTCCCACAGAAACGGAGGCCCAGTACGATTTCTCATTAGGTCCATTTTTAAATACAGTATTGTTTAAAATGTGAGCACCTAGATAACTGGAAATGTCATTGTAGCCATGGGCCCTAGGAAGCCGGGCTCCCACCCCTACCCTACAGGGGCTGGTGCCACCTGCACTGGCACATGGGGCCATCTCACCAGTCCCCAGGAACAAGTGGGATCCGCCTCCCAAGGGGGGGTGAAGGCCGGGAGGCCTGATGGGCACACGGAACTCTACCACTAGCCATGTGTAGGCAGTGGACACAACCCAACCCACAGTGGCCCAGCACTTGCTGGAATGTCCCCAGCAGGCTACCAAGCACAGTCAGAAAGTGAAGCCTGAGAGGCACAGGGCTTGGGGACACTGCAGGACAAGCCAAGGCGCCCCTGGCTGAGGTAGGTGGCCCTTGAGGTGTGTGTCACAAGGGCAGACCACATTGGGGCCCAGTTGGTCACTGGTTCTATAATCTGAACAATGGAATTCAAACAATGCCAGAAACCCACCTTCCTGATTCCAAGAGGATCGGCAACCTGCCAGGGACAGGCCAGTTCTGAGACATCAAGGCCCCAGGCTCAGTGAGGATGTTGGAGGACACAGAGCAGGTTGCCTCTGGTGTTGGAATCTGGACACTCACTGGGCTGAGTACAGGTCAGGCCTTGGCCTCTGGCTGCTCCCTTGAGACTGGCCCTGAGGTCCACACGCTGTCCTCCAGGGCCAGGGTTGTGGCTTCAGGCTGCAGGTTGCTGAGGGCGCCATCCTGCAGGCTCTGCATCGGAGTAGCTTTCTCCTCCAAGGGGCTCCTTAGCTCCTGGGCCAGGGGCAGTGGCTGGTGGTGGCCCCGTCGGAAGTGCCACAGGCTCCCCAGCAAAGCTCCCAAGAAGTAGGCAATGGACAGCACCATGAAGTACATAAAGTAGACGAGAAACTAGAACAGAGAGAAATAAAGGTGGGGGTGGAGGGTGAGAGACAGCCTGGGAGGAGAGGGGGAGGTGGGGGCCAGGGGAGGGGCAATCGGGGGACAGGCCGTGTGGAAGTTTATTCCTCCCGCTCAGAGGCCACAGGAACACTGCAAGGCTGGGGTGTGCGCCCAGCGATCAGAGGCCAGCCTGGGAGCAGGGCCCACAGTGCGTGAGGCCTGCCTCCACACTCCTTCCACCACACCAGGCACAGCCTGCGGGGAGCTCCCACCACTTTCTCACAGAACCCTGGCACGTTTGCTGTCTCCGCGTGGCCTCCATGATCTATCCCCAGGAACGTTGCTCATTTTTCATGACCACACGTGTGCACACTGCGCATGAGCAGAGTTCCCACACTGCTGGGGGCTCACGGACATCCGTGTGTGTGGTGGAGTCCAGTCAAGGACAGGCAGCCTGAGACCTGGGCAGCCCCCTACAGTGAGCCAGTGGCTGCCCTGGTGATGGGCAAAACTGCACAGTGACACAAAGAGATGCCCAGCCAGCCCGCAGAAATGTCCTTCCTGATTCTCCTGATCACCGGGGGACAGGAGGTCCGGTGGTCTCGCGGCAACTGTGGGCCAGACCAGGCTCAAGTCCCTCCCTGAGCCCCTTGTGACACTGGCACCCTTGCCCTTCTAGGAAAACTGCTCATTTCAAAAGCGAACCAGGAAGGGAACCGCGGAGGCCTTTGCTCCCAGGAAGACAGAATCACATGCTTCCTGTATGCTTCCCCAGGATGACAGAAACCCTACACAGAGCACGCATAAGAAAGTGACTCTGGCTCTGGCCGGTTTGGCTTAGCGGTTAGAACATCGGCATGCGGACCGGAGAGGCCCAGGTTGGGTTCCCACTCAGGGCACGTACCTCGGTGGCAGTTTGTCCCCGGCCCCAGTTGGGGTCATGTGGGTGACAACCAGTCAATGTGTCTCTCTCACGTCGATGTTTCTCTTTCTCCCTCTCTCCCTGAAGATGAATACAAAAAAAAAAAAAAGTGACTCTGGTCCTGGCCAGTTTTCTCAGTGGTTAGAGTATCTGCCCTTGAACTGAAGGGTCTCGGGTTCGATTCACGGTCAGGGGTAAGTGCTTAGGTTGCAGGTTCGATTCCTGGTCCTAGTCAGAGTCGTTTGGGAGGCAGCTAATTGATGTGTCTCTCACGTCAATATTTCTCTCTCTCTTTACCCCTCTCTCCCACTCAATGGACAAAAATCCTCGCGTGAGGATTAACCAAAAAAAAAAAGGGAAGTGTGATTCTGAAGGCAGGAGGCAGCCCAGCTAGGGACCCCAGAGCCCGAGGTGCAGCTCAGTGACCTGTGATGAGTCTCTGGTTTTATTTCCTTTTTTCTGCAGATATTTTGAAACTGAAGAAGCCAGCAACCCAGAAATTGCAACATATGTAGGAAAAAAAGCCCCAACAAAGCTACTGTCTCTACCAGAGGACCAGGACAGGGACAACCCAACAGCACAAGAAGTGACAGAGAGTACGGCCCTGCTCCAGCTAGACCCACATCTTTACCTAGGCTGTGAGGACACCCCTGCCCCACGGGGTGGTGTTGCTCAAGGCTCGGCGGGGAGCTGGAATGTTCACCCCACAGAGACCACGTGGAGTCTGGACTTTCACTCCCATTGGCCACTGATAACAACGCCCAGCCCCACCCCTGCAGACCCAGGACTTTCACCCCCACCCAGCAGCGGCAAGAACACCCACCCCATATTCAAGCTTCTGCAAGCTAAAGACAAAGAAAAAAAATCTTGAATGCAGCCATTTAAAAAAGTGACACCTGGCCCTGGCCGGTTTGATTCAGCGATTAGAGCGTTGGCCTGCGGTCCAGAGATCCGGGTTTGGTTCGCTAAGGGCACGTACCCTGGTTGCAATTTGTCCCCGGCCCTGGTTGGTCGTGCGGGTGGCAGCCACTCGATGTGTCCCTTTTACATTGATGTTTCTCTCTCTATCTATCTTCCGCTCTCCCTCTCACTCTATCTGAACAAAAATGGAAAAATGTCCTTGGGAGAGACTTAAAAAAAAAAAAGTGACACCTTAGGGGAAGAACAATTAGAATGACAGATTTTTTTTTTTTTTGGTACATGCCCCTCGCGGAAACCGAACCCAGGACTCTCTGGCCCACAGGCCGACGCTCCAACTGCTGAGCCAAACCGGCCAGGGCTAGAATGACAGAATTTTTCATCACAAACCATGAAGGCCACAAGGAAGTGCTTCACATGCTGGAAAAAACTGTCAGCCCAGAAGGCTATATCTTCAGGAATAAAAAGGAAATGAAGACATTCTCAGATGATACAAACCTAAGTGAGGAATTTGTCACAAGCAGATCTGCCCTAAAATAATGGCTAAAGGAGGTTCTCTGGACTGGAAGGTAATGCAGACAACCTGATACAACAGGAAGGAGAAAGAACACTGAGCGAAACCATGGGTAGACTGTGGTTGCCAGGGCTTGGGGAAGAGGGGCGGGAGTCAGGTGGTGTGGCCATGAAAGAGCAGCCTGAGGGACCCCGAAGGGAGGGGAGCTTCTGTTTCTTGACTTTACAAGGTCAGTATTCTGGTAATGACACCACCAGAGAACCATGGATGTGAGCAGTGGGGAAACGGGATGACGTACGAGGATCTCTGTATTACCTTACACTGCACGTGAACGAAGTTACCCAAAACAAAAAGTTTACTTTAAAAAATAAGCACACCCAGGCCAGCTCCAGGCCACCAGCCCCACATGCTCTGCCCCCCTGAGCCTGAACACCTGCTCATTCTCACCGCTCAGGGCGAAGAGGAAGGGACAACAGAGCAGCGAACAGGAGGGAGCATGGTCAGCTGGAAGGACCGTCCTGAACCCAGCAGCATTTCTAATTATGAACAAACGGCCCCACATCTAGAGTTACTTTCTAATTCGGAAATGAGTTCAATCAATGTATTATCTTTGCTCTGACCCAATGTAGAGCCACACAGGCAAGGGGAGGGCCTGGGACGAGGATGGTTGAGAAAGGCCCAGCCCTTGGGGAAGACTCTCCAGGCCCTTCTCACCCAGCCATGAGCCCCTTGGAAGCTCCACTGTTGAGCAGGGACAACTGGAGGCTCCAAGGAGAGGGAGAGGCTTCTCCAGGTGCTAGGGTCCTCCAGGCCAGCTGGACAGCTGCCAGGCAAGATTCCATGAAAAGGCCTGGGGCCAAGGGTGCTGCCCCTGCAGAGATGCCCCTTCTGGGGGGAGGCCTCCCCTAAATGGTAAGGAGTAGCATCAGCAAAGGAGACCCTTGACCTACCCATGCCTGGGCACAGGGCTCATGCCCAGCAGACAGTCCCTCCCACCACTCACAGCTGCACATGCAACCTGTGGACCTGAGTCCAGCCAGGCCATGGGGGGCTTTGCCAACCCTGCTCAGGGTGGACAGTGCACAGGGTTCACCTTAACGGCATTTCCAAATCCACCCACAAAACCCACTTCCACACAAGAGGGTCTGTCCCATCTGAATCTCCTTCCTGGCCAGCTATGGGATCAGTGAGGCAGTGCTGACCCAGCACCCTCAGACAGAGGGTCGGGACATCTCATGGAGCCCACCACGCCAGACAGACCTCCCATTGGTGAGGCCCTGGCTCCCAGCGTTGGAGGCATCCCTGCAGGCCAGTTACTGAAGATCCCAGTTCCAACCCTCCTGCTGGCCGGTCCTCCGGCTAATTCCAGCTCACTCAGAGAGGTCCTGCCTTGGCTGAGGACACCAGGAGTCACAAGTAAGCATTCTCCACCCACAGCAGATAGTCACAGGTGTGAGTGCCCCCACCTTACAGAGGACAGGCATTCTCAAGCTCCTCTGAGAACCACCGAGAACCTGACTAGGACTGAACAAAGGGGGGAGGGATGGAGAGGGGCCATTCACGTGCCGCCAACCCCACCAGCTCTACTTTCATCTGTCCTCTGTAAAGAAAACAACTAACTGTCATGGGTCTAACGAGCCTTGTCATCACAGGCAGAGACCTGACATGCGCGTGGTAAGCTGTGACAGCCAAGGCAAATGGCTCACGGCACAATTCTGTCCTTCCCGTGACATCAGCCATCATGGGGGACACCCAGGGCCAGGAAGACCTCCAGAGATGACCTGCCTCCCAACTCAACTAAGAGGCCCCACAGTTCCAACTGAAGCCTGCTGTGCCCTGCCCAGACCCGGGGCGGCATCACAGCTGAACCTGGGCCCCAGGAGGGAGCAGTACAGGCCGGCACAGCGGTTGCCAGATCATGGCTCCCTGGCACCAGTCCTCTGATCCTTCCCTCCCTGTTCCAGGCCTTTCACTTCATGCTCCTGCTCTGACTCAGCAGGTCCAGTGTGTCCAGCTGGAGATGCCTGGCCCACCCTATGCATGCCCCTACCCTTGGTAGACCTGTAGTCTGGGTCCCATGGAGGGGACGATGCTGCTGGTTGGGTGAGCACTGGGAGGCATCCCAGACATCCTCCCAGAGTCCCCTCTCCCCAAGGAAGTGAACCCAACACAGTGGCTCACCTGTGAGCGGACCAGAAGGCCCAGGCCCCGCTTGTCAGAAACGATGAGGATGATGATGGTCTTGAGAACAGTGGCGAGGAATGTGTTGATGCCGAAGATCAGAGCACAGAGTTCCTTAGAGAGAGATGACGCGATCTGAAAACTTAAAGGGAAAGCAGGCCGAGATCAGCCTCAGCTGGGAGGAACAGGAAGTGCCCACAAGAACAAAGGGAAACCCTGGGCTGCCAGACAGAATCAGCCATGTGGTCTGATGACTGGCCGGGTCCACTAAGGTCACCGGAGACCAGCAAGACCAGCCCAGCACCCAGGCTGCCCATCGTATCCTCCCTCAATGACTCATAAAATGAATGCAAAATAGCGCCAAATGCAACCTTGGGAAGACATTTAAAGTCTCCTAGTAACCCTGGCACAGAGTAAGTCATGTTCATTGCAGCGTTCTCAGAAAATCACCCTCTGGAGAACGGGTGGAGCCTCATGAGGAAAATTCTGGAATTGAAGTCTTTAATGATGTTAAAGTCTTTAATGATTTTAAAGACATTAAATGATTCAATAAACTAGACAAAGAACAGTTAAACAAATAAGGAGAGAAGAAGGAATTAATATGCTCAGAGCTCCTAGTCCTCCAAAGAAATTAACATCTGAACGTACTTCCAATTAAAATCCCCAAGGTGCCTTTAAAAATAATGACTAGACAAGAAATGTTCTAAAGAACCAACAAACACAAATACCCAACAGGCCTTTAAAGAGAATGACTGAGGCTAAGGCCCTTCTGCTGTCCTGGGGTCTGAGGAGCAAGAAATACATGAAACCCAGAATAAGCTATCACATGACAAAGACTGCACACAAACTGAGAAAAGACCTTGTCAATCACCCTGGCCAGTTTGGCTCAGCGGTTGGAGCATCAGCTCGCGGACCAGAGAGACCCAGGTTCAGTTCCCGCCAGGGGCATGTACCTCGGTTGCAGTTCATCCCCGCCCCGGTTGGGGTTGTATGGGTGGCAACCAGTCGGTGTGTCTCTCTCACATCGATGTTTTTCTCTCTCTCTTCCTCCTTCTCTCCCTCACGTTCTATGTTCTATCTGAGGATGAATGCAAAAATGTCCTCGGGTGAGGGTAAAAAACATCAAAGGACTGAGAGGACAGATTAACTCCTGGGCAACCAGAGCCGGGTCCAGTCCCACCAGCACAGCAAATGCCACGTCATCCACACACCATACCATCTGCAGGAGTGTTTCACAGGTCACACCACAAACTCCACAAGTAGGATAAAAGGCAAAGCATAACATACGTGATTAAAGGCTCCTATCACTAATGGTCGAATAAAGAAAAAAGAAATCCCAGCGAGAAAGAGTCCACATATATGAATTGGCCACTAACACGGAGGGGCCAGCCCTACGGCACTAAGAAAAGGCAAGCTGCTACCTCAGGTCACAGGGGTCGTGCGCTTGCCTCCGCAGGCATCTGCAGTATTTACCAACACCCCCTTGCTGAAGCACATGCCCTTTGACCTGGTCAGTCCCTTTCTAGGAACATCTGAGGTCATTATCAGAATTTGGAAAGAAAAATGCAAATTGAGAGGATATTGATCTCAGTGTTGCCTGTCATAGCAATATATTGAAGATGGCATCCCCATAAGTTGGGGATTAGCTATGTGGCATGTCTCTTGTCACCAAGAGGACCAATGACACCTGCATTTTGGATAGCTAAATGAGAAGACTGTCTTCTGCTGAGTGTGGTCAGGGTGTCTGGCAGCACGTGGCCCTCAGGAGGACAGTGGGTTTGCTTCAGGCTCTCCGAGCACAGGGCAGCTGCAGGCCGAGACTGGATAGGGTAGTGTGGGTGCAGGGTATGTCGGAGATGGCACAGGGGAGTCAGGCCACCACTCCATGGAGAAGGGGACTGCAGTGGGTCAGGAGACTGAGGATACGGTCTGAACTTAAGACAAGGTGAGGACAGATGTTCTGACGTGGGTGGGTGTGACTGGAAGAAGGATAGGACTGGAGATGCCCACATTGGGGATTGGGGAGGTATCAGAAGAGCCCTGGACAGAAGGTAAGCTGGGACGCCTGGTCACTCCTTGGCCAGGGGCCGCTGTTCCCCACAGTGGGAGCAGAGAAGGTGAGAAAGGCCATGGGGCTGCCCAAGATGGGGTTGCAGCAACGCTTGGGGCCTGGGAAACGGGGCTAGGAAGCTGGGAGGAAACATTTCATAAGGACCAGTCCCTGTGGACACCAAGTGGCCTTGACAGGAGGAGCAGAGAATATGCTACATGGGAGGACTCCTTGCTGAGCCTCAGGGCCATGGAAGGCAGCTTGGAAGGACGTGCTATGGACAAAGGGACACCTGGGCCCCTGGCTAAAGGTGTTCAGAGTTCACGGCTCCTCCCACCACCAAACTTGTTTCACACTGCTCGGCACACACTCTTTCTACTCCCTTCAGAATGTTCTGGAATGGCGGCCTCTTAATACACACAGCCCATCAGTACCCACCCTGAAGGAGGATGGTGCTTGGCCCTCTAGGGACCCGCTGTCCTCCAAGCCCTGAGCCCTGGCCTTGCAGTGGCCACCTGGGCGAGTAGCCTCTGGTCCACCCCACACAGCCCAACTCACATGGCGATGGGCACCAGGAACTGATAGAAGCCGCGGAAGAGCACGAAGGCCGCATAGCACAGCCAGATGCTGCTCGTGCTGTACATGAGGAAGACCAGCCCGCCCTGCACCGCTGTCACGGCTCCGATGATCAGCTTCGCCCACAGGGCCCAGCGGATCTTCACAAAGCCCGCGGCAAAGGAGGTGATGGCACCTGGGAGACAAGACAGTCATTGCCAACCTCCTGGGGTGGACAGGCAGGTGGGGCGGGTGGGGCAGGTGGGGCTGGCTGGGCATACCGAGCAGAGTGGAGGCAGCGTCCGTCCCACCGTTGTAGACCCTGGTAGTGTCTTTGGTGGGGTCGATCACGTTCCACAGAATGTGCACGTAGAAGACAATCAAGTAGTAGCCGGCTGAGTTAAAGATCCACCAGAGGGACCAGAGGCGCAGCTGCGGCAGCCGCAGGCTGTCCCTGAGCTCCCGGAGCATGCGCACGAGGATACAGTCCCCCCAGCCCACCAGCAGAGTCCGGTTGAGCTTCTTGCCTGTGGACTGGCCAGGGCCAGGGTGCATCTGGTCCAGCTCGGACGGTGAGGCCCCACCACGTGCAGGCTCAATGCGGTTGAAAAAGAGGCTGCGTTTGGGGCGCTTCAGGAAGATCGTGAGGACCAGGCTGAAGGTGAGGAAGGCCAGTGAGATGTAGTTGAGCTCAGTGAAGGAGACCCTGCCCACGGTGACAAGCAGCTGGCCCAGCACGGAGCTGGTGAAGACGCCCAACAGCACTGCGGTCCTCGAGTAGCCAGCCATGCGCTGATACTGGGCGGGGCGCACGAGCGAGAAGATGTAGGAGGAGTAGGCTATGCGGCTCGCCATGGTGAGGCTGTAGAAGAACTCCATAAACTGCATGTGCAGCACGGAGCGGCCGAACAGCAGCAGCAGCCACACGGCGATATAGCTCAGGCCCTGCAGGAGCAGCACCGGCTTGTAGCGCAGGTAGTCCGTCAGCAGGAAGATGGGCACAAGCACTACCAGGTAGGAGTAGGACAGCACCGGCATGATCTCGTTGGTGACCTGCAGGACAGCAGGTTTGTGACCCCACACAGCTCAGCACCGCAGCCAGCGATGCCCTTCAGAAGCCCCCCACCAGTCACATGTGCGTGACTGTCTGCTGACACCAGCACAAGTGGCCCTCAGCTCTGAGGGGCCAGCGGGCTCCAAGGCCCCACTTTACAGATGGAAACCAAGGGCCAGAGTTAAATCCTGGTCAGCACATGGGGTCCACTGGGAGGCTGGGTGGACCCACTTGCTCCAGATGGTTTACTCACAGCCCTGGCATCTGCCTCCCCAGATGTGCATCCAAGTCCATTGCTCAGGACCCCAGACTAGACACTCACACTGACAAGCCTCTAGGGGCTCAGAAGGAGCTTGCCAGGAGACCCCAACCAAAGCTCCCAGCCTGACAGCCTCCTGAACCCACATGCCCAAGGGAAGTCAAGGTCGACCCCCCCAGGCACAGTCCCCAAAACATCGAGCAATGAAGGCTCCCAGGGCATTCCTGGGTATTATTGGTACAAGTCAGTACCCTGGGGAAAGCTAAATAACCTGTGCTTGGTCACCGAGAGTCACGCACAGGGATTCAGACATGTTTATGGAAAATTCTGGGAACATCAAACAGTCCCTCCTGATGAGACCTATTGGCAGACAACTTGCTCAGCCTGGGGGCCAGTTTGCTGTCAGAGCCCAAGGGGCGAGGTGGGGTCAGAGAAGAGGACCAGTCGGTCTTTCCCCTCTCCTCCCCCCTACCCATCTCTTGCAGAGGACAGTGCCTGCCAAGGGGCTATGGGCCTACGAGCCCACAAAGTCCCTGGGGTAGATGGTGTCTGTCAGGAGACCCAGAACCACCTGGAAGTCAGCCTCCTACTGGCCTGAGCCCAGTTTTTCCCAGATCATTAGTATTTGGGTGTCCTGGGATGGGAGGAGCTCAGGGGTTGTGCCCAGATCTGAACCCAGAGGGCGTAAGGGCAGCAGCTTCTCTGAAGGAGGGAGGCTTAGCTGGAGCCCCAAGGCAGCCAGGACAAGCTGGAGATGGGACCCAGGGCTATGGGTCCGGCAAAAGGGATGGGGCACTGGGATGGGGGACAATGGGTTCTAAGGACCAGTGGGATGATGGGGGCAGGGCCAAGCCACAGGTAACCCAAAATCCAAGAGGAGGAGGTGTCAAGAGCCGACAGCTGTGAGTGCCTGGACACAGGCGTCCTCCGACCAGAGGGCAAGGACAGGGCAGGGAGTGAATGGAGGACACTGAGGACCCCGCCAGTGATGGGAATATCAGCCATGGGTCAGGAAGAACTGTCCTGTGAATGGTTTTGGCAGGGACTCCCCTTGGGGACAGGTTTGCAGGAACTGACCCAGGCAGCTCAGATACAGAGAGCTGAAGGCCGCATACATCAGGGAGCAGAGGGCGTGTGAGACAATGGCTCACAGCGTAGCACAAGGGAAAATCTGGCTGCACAAAAACGAGAAGCTCCAGCATAAAAGGACACCGTAAGCACGGGGAAGGCACCAGCCAGCGGAGAAAACCATGTGACCCACAGGAGCAGACCGGGGATCCCCCAGGCAGAAGGCAGACAGCCACACAGGAAAGGGAGGGAGGCACGGCACAGGGACAGCCAGGAAACACACCGATGCAGAAATCAAGAAAACACAAATCCGGCAGCTATCAGATGGGCAAAAAGTCAACAGGGGTAAGAGGGAAACTGGAAGCTGTAGCCACGGGCAGAGGGAGCAGGTGTCAGTGTCCAGGACACCACAGCATCGTCCCTTGGGGGTGACAGACAGCAGAGGCACCAGGTACTCTGTGGTTTAGTCCCATAGGGTGCAACTTAGATAAGATAGTCTCTGACCCACGTGAGTAACTCTCCCAAGCCAGGCCTGGCAGGCCTGGCTCACGTGCATTTCCCAGACACAAGCCTGCTGTCCCTCTGATGACACCCAAGCTTGGTGGAATGGGACTTATAACTTTTTTGCTATAGAGATTTTTCCTGTTGTCTTAACAGAGCTTCATATACATGATGACTCCTGTAATCACCACTGCAGACGATGGCCCCTCTCCAAGACTGGATCAGTATTCTAAGGAAGGAGTGCCGTCCGGCTGACCCGTGAGTGAGAGACCTGAGGAACTGGTTACTCAGAGGAGTCCCAGGAGACAACCCCAAAGGCCCCAGCCCCCCTACCCAGCCTCACCTGGGAAGTGACCAGCTCCAGCAGTCAGCACTAGCCATGGGACCAGACGCAGAGACAGACATGCAGGGCTCTGAGTTCGTGTGGGCCAGTATGTGGCCACTTCCATCTTTCCAAGATGGCTACTTGGAGGAGACAGGCCTCGTTTGCACAGCCACCGCATTTGGTTGAAACAATTTGAGGGTCTGCAAAGGGTAGGGGCCAAACTCCAGGCCAGGTAAAGGCAGGGGCTTCCCAAGGAAACCAAGGGCACACTGGGACCCAGTAGGATCCAGCGACAGCGACGTGGGCTGAGGAGGCAGTGGCCACGTGGGAAGGGCAGAGGAGGCTGGGGGAACGAAGGTGAGCAGCCCGGAACCAGTTCTGGGGCAGTGCCGGGGGTCCTCAGATGGATGAGCAGGGTGGTGACCAGAGCTCGGACCGGCACCCTGACTATGTGCTTCCGAGTTTCTTTGTCTTATTTTACGGAGAAGGAAACAGTAGAAGTTGGAGAAGAAAAGCATCAGGGCCCGTCCTGCCTTAATCTCCTACCACCGTGACTCACCTCTGGTATAAGCTTACTAGTTGGGTTTCAACAAGATCCTTTGTCCTCCTTGCCGAGTGAAGGAAAATTCCTTCAGTAATCTCTTTAGGCAAATAGCTGCTGAGTGTCTGCTGGAAGCAGGTGCCAGGCAGGTGGGCACACTCTCAACCCCGGGTACTCTTCCCTCAGAGACCCCCAGCAGCCTCAGACCCCCTCTGTGCCCCCTAAGGGACTGGGGACAGGACTAGGACACCACACGGCCACCTAACCTCAACAGCCCCAGCTGCTTTCCCATCCAGGGGGCACGCCTGCCCACTATCCCGTGTCCACAGGCCCGTCCTGCCCGCACCAAGCCCACGTGCCTGCTCCTTCGTGAAGTTCTTGTTAGGGACCAGGAGGTAGGGGGTCATGAAGCTCTCCCCGGGCCGCATCTGGGACATGAAGCCATAGAAGCAGAGGAAGAACACCAGCCACTGCCAGGACTGAAACTCGTTGTCCTGCCCAGGCTCCAGGGGCACCAGCTTCTTCACCGCCTGGCTGGAGGGTGCCATGCTGCTCAGGCCTCACACAGCCCTGGAGGGACTGAAGGTGATGCTGCCCCTAGAGGGAAGAGCAGAGAGTCAGAGCAACTTAGCAACCCACAGACACCTCCCCTTCTCCCCAGAACTTGGCTGAAGGGACACCCTCCCCCTTTCTCACTCAGTCAGGATCCCATAGCCACATGGAGTCGGGGAAAGGGGCCCATGGTCTCAACTTGGATGGGGCTTTCAACAATCCAGATGCCACATCCACCCAGACTGGTCTGTCACCACCTCCAGGGAGTCTCCAGGGCTTCCTGGTCCCATATGGTAACCACCGGCCTTATGGGGATCCTTAAATGTTAACTAAAACTAAATTCAATTTGAAATTCAGTTTCCCAAGCACATCACTCATTTCATGTGCTCAGAGCCGGTGGCTGTGGCTGCTGGGATGGCACACGTCCCTCCCTAGAAGAGGTCTCAGGGACAGCCTGCTCTCGCTGTCCCACTGGCCGCTGGGGGAATTCCAGGCATAAGACTGGGCAGATGGGTTTTGTAGGTAGAGCCCAGAGTAGGCGGGGAGGCAAAGGGAGAAGCAGGAGCCAGAGAGGAATGTGACCAGGAGAAAGGAAGGGGCCACCGGGTACAGATGGAGCTCCAGACCACCATGAGCTGAGGAAGGGTAGTCTCGCCCTAGGACACTTTGGGTGGTGCCTCCATTTGGTGCAGGGTTGATGGCACCATTCCTATGCCCACCAATCACCTTTTATAACACAGAGGAGCAGATAATCATGTCTAGTTATCAGACTACAAAGTTATCCGCTGTTTATTTTTATTCCTACTTCTCTAGATGCTACATGATATTAGTTTTCCATTAAGGCACTGATACAAACTTCGCTCTTAAGTGAGAGTCAAAAAGCAAGCTGCCATGAAAACTGTGTCAGGTGAAGGAGGGTGCCCATGCCGAACAGACACAGTGAGAATGAGGAAAGGTGCACCCACTCTGTGGCTCAGGAGGGGTGGGGACACCCTGGGTGCAGAGAGGGGCTGGGCTGAGAGATGTTGGAACAGCTCTGTGCCCCTTACTGCACGGTCTATTCTGGGAGGGTGACTGTAGAGGGTCTGCATTTGGGGAGGAATCCCCTCCAATCCCCAAGCAGTGGACACAAAAAGTTTCCAAGATGTAGGACCTGGTGCTCTGGAAAAGCCACCAGGTTCTGGGCACTTGTTTCTCATGCGTTTGGCCAGCATGCTGCTCAGAGACCATGTAAACAGGAAGTGTTTCCACACTGTTCCCTGCATGAGGCCCAGGGAAACCAGGTGATTGCAGAGAGCTAGCGGCCACCAAGGGCAGAGAGAGATTTCTCACCAGATCTCCAATTACTCTGCAAGCCTAGGGCCTCAGCAAAGGGAATTGTGGTTGGATGAGTGAAATTCTTTTGCCTTCTAAGCCCCAGTACTTATTTCTGTGACTCAGGGAAAATGAGGTTGGGGCAGGGTAGTGAAACCCCTTAAGCAGCTGGGCCTGGTGGATTTGTGGGGCCACAGGAAGGGAATTGCAGCCACACGGAAGGGCAGGTCAAGGGCAAAGGGCAGCTTTTGTAATTACAGAGAATTTCAAAGGTAGGGGGCGATGGGGGCAACAGTGGCCTGGGAGTTACAGGGTTCTGGGAAAGCCCCCCACCATTGAAGGGCCAAATGAAACAACCAGCCAGACAGGGGAGCTCGAATTTGGTCTCCTCCCCTGGCACCCAGGAAAGAGCACACAGGCCATACAGGCTTGAGGCTGCTCTACCAATCCCCAGTAACCCTGGAGCTTGCCCAAACAGCTGAGAAGGCCTTGGCCCCTTCAAAGGAGGTGCAGCCCTAGGCCACAGGGTGTACCACAGGCAGGACAGCCCACCTAGGAGTACACACACCACCAGGGACCCCATTCCAGCTCCAGCATACCCCTCAGTTCACTTTCCCTGGATACCAGAGCAACCACACACTCACCGACCTGAGCAGCAGGCATGGGGCAAACAGCCAAGAATTTAACGAAGCCCAGGGTACCCCAGGAACGCTGTACTTGGCCCTCCTGTCATCTCCAGAAGCGATGAGAGCTTCCCTTACCTGGTGTCCCGGAATCCTGGGGCAATGGTACAGGTCTCAGACACCAGTACCAAGAACACTTTGTTTCATTTCTACACCCAGCATGCCTACAGCTTCTGAAATTCCCAGGCAGTGCTTCTTAATTACAGGAAGAGCTCGTCAGAAATGAGCTCTGAACCCTGCCCCACATAGACACCTGAAGGCCTGGGCCGGCCCAGGACTCTGCACCTTAACATGTCTCCCAGACATGCCCTGGGTGACCAAGTGAGCAAGTCCAGGAGACACTGCCTCAGAACTCCTGGCTGGTCTGGACAAGATCACCCACTGGAGATCCAGTATCCAGGCTTCAGGGCAACACCACCGCCAACCACCCATTCCTCCAGGGTCACAACACAGGTGAAATGGACGCACTTCCCAGAAGGATGGACATGCAAGAAGCCATCCCAGGTGATAATGGCCAGGGAGCCCCCAAAATGGGTGGATCTCACAAAGTGGGGGAAGTGTCTGCAGACACCCAGGGTCCAGGGCAGGAGGGATGAGGTTCACATGGGCCTCCCCTGGTGGCACCCAAAGCTGCTTCCTCAGAGTTCTACGAACTCTGCCCCTTCCTTCCCAGCCCACCCTTGGCTCACCCATCAAGCGCCTGACTTCAAAGGCAGCCCCTCCAGCTCCACCCCTGCAATATGGGGACACTGCCCAGTGTAGGGCTCAACCTGCTGGGTCACATAACTACCACAGCCCCCCCCCCCCACTTCCTGCTGAGTTACATAACAGGAGCCGGCACTGCAGGCCAAGGCAACTAACTAAAGGGATGCCCTGGGGAGTCCAGGCTTGGGCAGTTAGAGATTACATTTCTTTGAACTATCGCCCTGGACTGAGGCTTGTGTTCCCTATGGAATGTGCCTCTCTCCTGTGCATTCTGTGCATTTCCACACTATGCACTGCACCGTTGTACACACACTTGCAAAATCTTGTGGAAAAGGTGAGGGCTGGATGACAGGGTAACTGCAAAGTGACCTGAGCAGGATGTGGTCATGGGGAGGAGCTTGGCCCCACCCCTGCAGCAATGGCTGCCACACAGAAGCAGGGGCCAAACATCCAGGGTCTTATATGAAATCCATTTTTGACCATGGAAAAAATGTGGAGCACCACAGGGCCACTATGGAAAAAATGTGGAGCACCACAGGGCTAACGCATGTTTACAAAGCAGAGTCCTAGTCCAGGACACAGTGGGAGGCTTAGCTGTTACTCAGCATCTCCAAGAGGATAGGCCACCTGTGTGGGGACTGAGGTTCTAAGAAAAAAGCAGACTCAGAAGCCAAGGCTCTCAGCCACCAAGGCTGGGCTCTGCTGTCCAGGGTGAGGTTCACCTGCCTTAAGTCTTATTTTGTCTGTTTACTCAGCACATGTGAGCATAATCATCAACACTGGCAGGCAGTCAGTGTCCCCGGATAAGTCTCAAAGTCCTCAAGCCTGGAGAGCAGACTACTCTTCTACACACAGGCCCAGGAATATGAAGGGAAGGAACACAGCACAGAAATGGGCACAGAAGGCAAGTGAGGTGCCCAAGCTCAAGACCAGTGGGCAGCACGCTAGGCCTGGACCTCACCCCAGCCCAGCCCCATGCAACCTCAGGCCTCTTCAGGGCCAGCCAGAAGATCATGGAGCGGCCTCCCCAAGGACCTGTGTCCCTGCCTTCAGGAGAAGGCTCTTAAAGTTCCCCCTCAAACTCTTTCTGCACCTGCCCTGTTGGGGAGTGTGGAGCATCAGCAGCTCCCCGGGCGTTGTCCTCCCAGCACCTAGGAAGGCTGTAGACCCAAAAGCAAAACAAAAGCAATGCCACCTTTCATTTTGTGTTTTAAACCAGCTACTGCTACCCTGGCCGGTTTGGCTCAGCGGTTAGAGGGACTCTTTGGTCAGCGGGTTCGATTCTGGTCAAGGGCATGTACCTGGGTTGCGGTTCGGTCCAGGCCCTGGTCGGGGTCGTGTGGGAGGCAACCAGTTGATGTGTCTCTCTCACATCGATGTTTCTCTCTCTCTCTCCCACTCTATCTGAAGATAAATGGAAAAATATCCTCAGGTGAGGATTAAAAACAAAACAAAAAAGCTACTACTTGCCCTGGCCAGTGTGGCTCAGTTGGGTTAGAACATCGTCCCATGTACCAGATCTCGGGTTTGATTCCCAGTCATGGCACAAGGTTTCAGGATTCCCAGTCATGGCACAAGGTTTCAGGTTCAATCCCCATTGGGGGCACGTACCAGAGACAACGAATGATGTTTCTCTCTCTTTTCCCTCGCTCTAAAAAAATAAATTGGGGAAAAAACAACAACAACAACAACAAATTAAACTAGCTACTACTCTCCCAGTTTACCCAGGGAGGTTTCTTACATTTTAAAAACACCGGCTGGCAATCAGAGAAAGACAAATATCACATGATCTCACTTATTTGTGGCATATAATGAACAAAACAAGCTGATGAACAAAACAGACCCAGAGACATAGAAGCAGGGTACAGACTGACAAACCTCAGAAGAGGGAAAGGGGGGTGGGGAAGGGAAGAGATAAACCACAGAATTTATATGCATGTATGCGTAACCACGGACATAGACAGTGCTGTGGTGGGGGATTGGGATTGGGAGGAGGGTGTCAATAGGGGGAAAAGGAGAAACATCGGTAACAAAAATAAAATTAAAAAATATATGAAAATAAAAAATGGA